GATAATTTATAATTGACCTCTGTCACGCGATTTGTAAATGGGACACACTCTGCTTCATTCCCAAATATCCTAGAATGAAACTGATGACAACTTTATACATGAGCAGAGTCAACCCACTTGACGCGATTTTTACTTTGTTCTTCAAGAATGGTTGCCGTTGCAACCGAAACAAGAGTACCGTAATTCATTCAACATCTGTGGTTTCATTCATCGTCAAAATAAGGCATATGAATAGCAGAGTTTTATGCTCCATCACCTGGACTATACGTAGTATCCCCATGAGCACGTATTATAGGAGCATATGGTCAATGGAGATATACTGTTATATACTCGGACGAGCACGATTACTGATTCTTTGATTCACTCAGGCAAATATTTGCTTTAAGCTGGATCGGAAGCCGAACAAGAAAATTAAGAAATCCGCCTTGGGTAATGAGGACCATACGGGTCGAGGCTCGGGGTCGCGGTCGACCCATCATCAGCCTTCGGTATTCCGTGTTTTTGCTCCGATGAACATTCAACAAGGCAAGGTGGATCATCGGCTACCCTATGCTGTGTATACTCCAGTTATTTCAGGACCGGTTTTCCAATCTCCAGTTAGAAGAAAGCGCCCAAAGTTGCTCTTACCAATTCTACCTGAAATATTCGAAGCGATTTTCTTTCTCTCTTTCTTCGGAAGTAGGAAAAATGACATGTTAAACCCCATCAGAAAATAGTTGCGAACATGTGCGACATAGGAATTAAACTGATCAAGTCAGTCAAACAGGCTCATACAAACTAGTCCATAGACATCCTTTCCCTAGCCTACCGCCCCAACTAGCAAAGTAGTGTTATAATATAAGCTTTTGGTAAAAGAACCGTTCAGCCATAAAAGCTCTCTATTGTTGTTGCCTGAACACCAAAATGCTGACTTAATGTTGTGTGGAATGCAAATTTGCTTTCTGCAACATATTTGCTCTAAAGTGAGGTGTTTAAAATATTCTTATAGCATAGTTATACAACACCTTATAGGGCAAATTTTTAACTGTTGCATAAACGTTTATACAACTATTTTATACGACATATTTGCACGTTGGTCAAAATGGTGGTGTTGTGGCATCCATGGTAACGTTGATAAAACAAACCCGAGCCTTGTTGTTTTGCTGTGCAATTTACTACTTTAGCCAACAAATTGCTCCCAAAGGAAGCACTTATACAACTGTTGTTTAGTAACTGTTAAAGGCTATACATATGCTAAATTCTTTACCATAACCTAACTTTCTGCTGTCATATTTTTGTTAAAATGCCATAACCAAAGTTTTAAGACAAACAACGCATGTATATTGGTTCAAGAGGTTCTGTTAAAACAGAAGATATAGATCTGGTACAAATTCTGGGTAAATCATTCGACTCTATCAGTATTTCATTTCAGACATTTGAAAAAATGGTGGTATAACACCTGCAGGCAACACCAAAATATTCTAATAACCTAAAGAGAACATGGACGATGCCATGTTTATACACAACCGCCCGCCATATTGGGCAAACATTTATTCCTCTATTTAATATTAAATAATTATGTTTCAGTTCGAAATTACAGATATAAAGTGTCTAAATATAGGATTTGTGGAAGATTTAACGCAGATAAGTTCAGTTTTCCATCTTAAAAATCTAGACATACTTTTGATCATTATCAAAATATGAATCAAATACGAAACCCGTAGAAATTGCGTAACTAATTTGCACGATAATCACAATAAAATTTGCTGCGCAAGTAATTCAATAGCCCTATATTAGGTTTGTCATATGTATGAAATTCACAATGACCGATATGTAAGCAAACAAGATGACTGTAATGTGTTAGTGATATATTCTTCTTCGTCTATACAATACATAAGAAATAGTTTGGTTGCAATAAAGTAGAATCACGTAACATAATAGTTGTATAGTTGACAAAAACTGAATTTTGCACTGACGCAAATGTCCTATAGCGGCTGCAAGAAGCTTACACTGTTGTTGTATAACTGTTACCTGCAGCCCTTATACAACCTCTTAAATGACTGAAGTGTCCTATTAGGTGTGCCCATTCCGCTTGTATAGCTGTTCTAAGAGGGTTTTGCCAAGGTTCTTACAGTACCTATACAATGCTGTTTAATGAATATGTACTTTATTATCATTCTTGCAACTCTAATAGGAGATCGATCCCTGAGGAGATTCGCGTTGATATTGAAGGAGAAACCATCAGTAACTATAGATTTCCTACAGCCAGAGAGAAGCTCATCCACCCTGTATACTATTTCAAATACATTATACTAAGACTCCTCAAATCCCATTCGGTTTCCCTGGGTTCCGAGGTGTAAACTCAGTGCGCTCCACTAAAGAAAAGGGGGGATGAATCCAAGCACCCTATATAAAATGATTAGCCGAATATGTCATCGTGAATTGAGAATCAGGACGCACAGATAGATCTACAAAGCGAGGGCAGATAATCCTCGTTTTTTACTGACAACGTGTCGCTACCAGATCGTCCATGAATGACAAAGCTGTCGATGTAAAAAAGGGAGGATAAGCAATTGATGACGTTCTTGTAATTTCCTTTCGTTTTTAAATACTCTCCGTATCCAAAAATGACACCAGGGCCGTCTTACGGTATGTGGGGGAACTCGGAATTTAGGACAATTTTCGTACGTCCTGGTATTATTTGCTTGAGGGGGGGAGGGTTGTACTCAGACATTATTTTCGTTATGCGATTTGGCTGGACCTCCTTCCCCAATCCCCTAGTCCCACATGAGATTTTTAGAAATTTCTATTTTTATTTTACACTGTACTGGTTCGTGGCATTCGGGAAACCACAATAAATATCATTGTGTCCGATTTCGACAGATTGTAATCAGGAAATATGTTTTACATGAATTTATCTCGCTATATTACACTGTTTCTTGCAGGAAAAAATTACGTGTTATTCGTCGAGGCTCTGCATGTTTCATTAAATTTGATGACTCATTGCTCTTATGGTCCTTTTTTGTATAACAAATAACGTTTGCTGCCCCGAAACAGTATTATTCCAGATCGTAAAATCGTTTCAAAATTTGAACAATATATTGCTTGGATCTAAACACTATTAAATCGGTTTTGCCCTTACTTAGTACAAGTTTATTCATTGCAAACATTTCCTCATTGATTCAAATTCAAACACCTGCTAATGAGTATGTTGGTATCACAAAACAAGCCATACGAAATTTGTCCTCAAACCGTTCACCCAATGCTTGGCTTTCCACTGGTTGTTGGAACGGATATTTTGAAATACGGAAGCGCCTTTAGTTCTGATTTTAGTCCTGCGCCGCAGATTATACAGATACGACACCTGCTGTCGATCCCTTTGATCTTCGTGTCCAACTGCTTACCACATTTCCCGCTTATGTTCATTAGCGTCCGGAGGATTTTTTCCTAGGGGTTGTTACGCCTTATTAGCCAAACGTGACGAATGTCATATATCAAGCAGCATAATCAAGAAATTTGTGTTCATTTACCTACCACATGCATTTTGGCGAGATTATTATTATTCCTTAAAAAGCTATTTATATATAGTTTGATAAACTCTATGTTTTGATAACCCCTAAATCCTAAATGTCACAGCGACACGAATCCACCAAACGCATAGGACTCAAGTTGGCGTTGATAGAACCTGATTTTTGACAGTGTCGCCACTGTATAATACTCTGCTGGAACTGTGCTATTGAGTTTTGATTTAATAATCGGGACTGTAAAGGGGTCCCTTTTTCCAAAAATTGACAGTGCCGATGAGATCTGAGATCCCAGTGCACATTTACGTACGCTATTTGTGCCGTACATCAGCGTCACCCTTCAATGTCCAACACACGGTTGTCCCCCAATTTGGGTCAAGAGACATCCGTATGTCCAATATTAGCGACATTGTCGCCCGACACACTTGGCTTCCATAAATGTATCCCAGGATCCACCGTGTCAGCTTGGGTCATCACCACATGTACCTAGTCATCCAAAAAACTCGACCTTTATGTAGGGAGTGCCTAAGTGGCGCCCTCTTACATCAGGGTGGCGTTACTACACAGGCTTCATGAATGAACAGTGTTGCCAGGTCTGGGGAAATTTCACCAGATATGGTGATTGGTGAAAAATTTTTGAAAAATGGCAGTTTCTGGTACATCTATTTTGAATATTTCCAACAATCTTTCAGCTGCCAACAACCACTAAACTTCTGAACCGGTACCGCCTTTCGCGACTTCGCGTATTGTATCGTTTCCGTTGATTCCCCTAAACTGTTGTGGGATTCGCCATGTAAAGTTTGTGTGAGTAACAGCTGAGTATGCTAGTATCATCAGGTTAAATAATTATCATAAAGTCATAGTTCTTAATGCTATGACATTAGACATGGTTGCCCAAGTGTGAAGTGGCGTAAGGCTAATTTTGTATGTAAACTACAAAACAAATCGATTTTAGGGAAACAAGCAGGACTGTGAAAGGAAGTAATAAAGTAGATGGGTTTACGAACACGGGGATAAAGATAGGAAACGGCGTCGGTCTCGAACGAAGGGATGGGGATGAGGCTAAGGGTAAGGGTAAGTGAAGTTGAAAGTTCATTAATTGCCCATCCTCCCCTTTTATTCGCATCGACACCTTTGGCATTCATAAGCGATCTGGTAGCGACGCGTTGTCAGTACAAAACGAGGATTATCTGCCCTCGCGTTGGAGATCCCTTCTTCATGATTGGCGATCCACGACGACAGATATTCCGCTAATATCATGAGAAACAAATTTATAATATTGTACAGGGTTGATGGTATGTATGTAATGGAATCTTTGAGCATAATTTCTATGAATTTCCAGTTTGATTAATTTGAAACTTCGCACACGTATCAAGGACCGATGGCAATGCAATAATTTGATAACAGTTTTCCATTATCCTTGTAAGAAAAATTCTGTAAATAGCAGATATGTTGGTAAAAACCCAAGGACTTAAAATATGGATTTTAAAATTACATGACTCTGTAGCTCAAGTGGTAAAGCACTGGTCTTGTGAACAAGTGGTCGTAAGTTCAATCCTCACAGTAGACAGTTTGCGGTATCCTTTTTTTTTATTTTTTTAACACGAAAAGCTGATGTTTAGGCCTAATATTCATGATAGACATATTAGATTTCCAAATTTGGTAACTCCACCGATTCACTCCACAGTTTTATTCCAGCGTTCTTTCACGTACAGTGCTGCAGTGTTATACAATGCTTTGAGTCCTGAATTCAAAACCATGTCCTTAAATAGCTTCAAGAAAGCTGTCAAATCTCATATTTGCTCGCAGCTCGCACCCATAGTTTTGATCTGATTGCTCTTATCTATATTGTTAAATGTTGTTTCTTTACTTTCTTTGTGTACATGTAGTAAACCTAGGTGCAACATGTATATGTTTTGTTTTTGTTTTGTTTGATATCTGCTACTTAACAACGTTGGTTTTTTTGCATGGGTGGTTAAGTGTAAGAGTAGCGTGTTGCTAAGTTTCGCCACCATATGCAACTCTTGTTTCTCTGTATGAAATTGTACAGTTTAACATTATTATTATTATTATTAATTTTCACCAATTTCCAGAAGTTTGATTAATGAGAAACTTTGCACACGTATCAAGGACATATGACAAAGTAATAATTTGATAACAGTTTTCCATTATGCTTATAAGGAAAAATCTGTAAAAAATAATAAAAAGCCAGGGATTTCAAATGCCGCTTTACGAACACCCAAGCAACCATCCTCCGTAGCTCAGTGGTAGAGCACTGGCTTTGTAAACCAGGAGTCGTGAGTTCAATCCTCACAGGAGGCAGATTGCGCCATACCTTTTTTTGTTTTATTAGCTTGACCTATATGTCTGTATCTATGTATGTACATACAAATCTTTGAGCATAATTTTCATCAATTTCCAGAAGTTTGATTAATTTGAAATTTCGCACACGCAAAACTAAAAGAACACGCTTTTATAGCTAACCGAACTAATAATTAGAAAATAATGTTTAATAACAAAGAGTTTAAATTACAGTAGTAGATGGTCGAACAATGAATCATAATTAATGACCTCAAAATGGAATTATAATAAAATTTAGGTTATTAACAGAATAATTCAGTTCATAGTAAAAAGCGTGGGGTGTATTTTACTACATTTTCATAACTCTCCTCTCATATTAATATTAATTTATTTTAAATAATAAATTTTGAACATCCACTCATATTTTTTATCATTTCACTATGTACACTGTAAATAAAGCCTAATATAAACATAACAGAATTACCCAAACGGATACTTTTTACGAATATGATGAACAATAAAAGGCTGATCTTTCCCACCACTTTATTTCATTCTGTCACGGTTATTATAAAATTACACAAAGAACTCCACTATGCAACTATGCTTTAGATATCCATCTTATATGAGTTTGGCATCAACTTCCTCAGCTATTATAATTTCTGAGAGGTTATTCAGGCCATACAAACCTTATCATCTCTATCGAAATAACGCTTTTGAGCCAACAAAGAGTTTTTCATGTGCACGATTTCCGTGGTGACGTCGGTTTTTATCGATTTAAACTTGTTCATAATAGATTGATTTGCACTTTAAGATGTCCTATCTTCTTTCACAATGAAGGGTTTGCTTCCGTGATATAGAGGAGAGTGTTTAAAAACGGACCCTCATCTTTTTAACAGGCTTTTATTAGCTTGGCTGTAACGGAATCTTTCAGCATACATTTTCACCAATTTCCAGAAGTGTGATTAATTCTTCTGTAGCACTTAGTCGTGTAAGATCTTGAGACGGTATTCGGATTGAAGGACTTGATTGTACTAAGTTAACAGGAAAAAAACATGCAACAGTGAAGTTTCAAATGAAATGATTAGATTACGAAATGATTCGTAAGACATTTCAATACCACATGTCCACAAAGAACTAATTGAAAAATCGAACTAAGAAATGAAGAATAAATAATAGTTGAGAAAACTAAAAAAAAAATTTTATTACAAAGAGTTTATATTCCAGTGGTAGATGGTCGAACAATCAACCATAATTAATGACCGCAAAATAACATTATAATAAAATTCAAGTTATTATTAGATTAATTCAATTCAGATTAAAAAGCGAGGGGGGCATTTTATTACATTTTCATAATTCTCCAACTTGCCAATAGAATGATTGTAACAATTACTATATCAAGCACCCCACGCTTTTAACTGTGAATTGAATTATTCTGTTAATGACTTAAATTTTATTATACTTTCATTCTGAGGTCATTAATTATGATTGATTGTTCGACCATCTACTACTGTAATATAAACTCTTTGTTATTATAAATCACACCCACCTTATGTACTTTTTAGTTCGGTTACTTGTAAAGGAGTGTTTTTTTGAACTATTATTTATATATTTAAAAAATACATCTATGAAAAAAAAGTATTGAAATAAGACACCGTCAGCTATTACCAGCTTCGACCGAATGTAAAGCAGCATGTTTAGTTTTTCAATGCCGAGTAGAGTACAACTACTGTATACCACCCCTAGCGGTCACATTGGTAACTGGGCTATCAAATTACTTTGTGCTGTATATTTTTCGATAGATCTCAAACCTCGGATAAATGACAATTGCTATGATTTAGATCGTTGGCTCAGAGACCAGGGAGTGGAACGTCTTATGGGCGAACTGACAACACCAAGGCCATCATCTCCAGGCAAAATTAAGGAAATTGAATTAACGGCGTGTCGAGTCACGTGACGCTTACAAATATTTTCTACCTTTATCTGAATAAAATATCTAATACGCTGGTGCTTTCAAAGATATTTAGTTAAAATTGAGCATAAAATATAAAACAACACGTCACTTAAAATATTGAATTCCAGGAAAGCATTGTGTACAACTTTTACACTGGAATCAGTTCCTGGAGTAACCAAAAATTATAGCAGGGCCCATGAGCTGTGGTTTCTATTCAGTTGCACATGGCAAAACAAAAATCGGATAAATTTTAGGTTTGTTGTTCCCTCTCCGAAAAATTGTTTACCCGCCTCTGGAATTCTACTTTGACCCTGCAAATGCTTTGCGACTCTGAAGGCGGTCAGGTTTGAATATTTCAAACAGGATACAACCGCCATCTGGCGACCTATATTGAAAGAATGCTTAAACTCGATGAGAATTCTTCCTATGACTGCGCCATCTATTAGAGAAACTGTCACCTGATAATAATTTTTTCGTATAGATGGCGCATTAAGTCAGCTCTACAGTTTTCTTCGGAGAAATATTTTTTTATTACTTTTTGTTTGTCAGATGGCGCTCTCATAGTGTTGTCATATAAGGTTTTTTCTCCCAGTTTTGGGATAAAATCTTTCTGGGAATGTTTGGAAAGCAACATTTTCTGGACGACGATATGGGGCAAAATAAGACCTTTGGGTATCTAAATGGCATTATGTGTCATTTTCAACTAACTAACTAATTTGTTAGTTTTGTTTTATTGTCTGTTTTTTACAACTGATAATTTTCTGGCGTAGCGAATGATCTTACTCTTTCTCGTCGCATGTTGAACATTTCCTTCCGAAGAATACGTAATATCTTCAAGAACAAAAAAGATTTTAGTAACAGGTTACAAGTGAATTAATAATACGCATATTTTGAGTAATATTTATTGAGCAACAAGTAAGATTTACATATGATATACTATAATAGTAAGAATAATCTTAATTTACCTCAAACTTTAAGATAAGTCGGTGAACGGTAACCCGTGTCGAAACCAGGTAGAAATTTGTATATATTTTCCTATAGTAATAAACTTAAATTGGAATTGTAATACAAATATCTACCTGTGCTGTTTACCTATTTTCTCAGAATGTTTTATTGGCGTCAATTACTTCATAACATATTAAATCAACAATCCACGGGTCTCAGTTTTTGGTCAAGAAAGTTACACTTTGAAAAAAATATCAATTCCAAACTTTACGTTTGGACATACCTGCAATAATTTTGCATACTTCTTAATTGAGTCTTAAAACCACAAATCATGACTTAGTATGACCCTGTCACCTGAACTATGCGTGAATACGTTTATGTTTAGTTTCTTTCTTCGATACACGGAGAATATAATCATTTTTTTGAAGAATCTATAGATATAATTTACTATTGTATTTGTAAAATATTAAATTATACTAATATTAATTAACAATCATAGAATAATTCTTAAAAAAATAAATATGTATTGAAATAGTATTTTTCAAAAACATAAATAACTTATAACTAGATATGTATGAAGTGCTACAAATTCGACAGTATTTACGTATAGGAAACTATATGTCTCGTTTGTATCAACGATTCTGACTAGAATATTTTTTATGTTCTGGTGTTTTCCTCAATCCAGTTGAGGTACTCTGTAACTCTCGTATATACTCCAGGATATCCAGGTTCTCCGCATTTGTTTCCGAAAGAAACGACCCCTATCTGTATCCATCTCGTGTCCCAATGCACCATCAGAGGTCCTCCAGAGTCTCCCTATTAAATCCAAACAATTGGCTTAGAAAAATACACTAAATACACCAGCCTGTGACGGTTTACACAGAAAAAATGGTGCGTCAATTCACTGGAAAAGTAAATGAATTCCGATAAAAAGTAGTACTACCAGCCAGTGGCGGATCCGCGGGGTGTCCAGGGGGTCTGGACACCCCCCAAAATACCATAGCTTAAAAAATTGCGTGCTTTTCAATTTGCGACGACCTCGCCTCCCGCTCGCTCTTCAATTTTCAATCTCGTGACGGATATCCTCCTCAATATAAATCCGGAGCTCCTCCCTGCAGCACTCTTATCATATGGACCCCCTGAAAATATTTTTTAATAAGTTGCCTTACCTGACAAGCATCAGTGCCTCCTTCTGAATACCCAGCGCAGATGAAGTTGGCTGTGATCGGCTGGAAATAAGCTTCATTGCAATCTTCATTCCTCCAGATCGGCAGAACCGCCTGTCTTTGAACGGTACTTTCTTTACCCCCATAGTACGTCGTACCCCATCCTACCACGGTCGTTTTTCTTCCCGCGAATTTCTCTCTCCTCAATCGTGGCGGTGGTAAACATAATGGAATTATATATTTAGACTTCCTAGCGGGCTTCTCAAGTTTCAGGATGGCAATGTCGTTGTAGAAGCCGATTCTGGAGAAGTCCTTGTGTGCCCTGATTTCTGCTACTTTGAACGTGACCGGCGACGAAGGCTCGTCATCTCGTTTCAAGTCCACGTCGCCCAGACGTACCGAGAATTGGCGAGCTGCAAAACTACATAAAGTTGTTCAATTGATTGCATTTTATAGGATGTTGACAAAACATGTAAGGGTCGATTCTTTTGAACCTAAGACTGGCGATTTTCTAAAAATAGCTTAGTTTTGGAGACGAAAGTGGTGATACTGAACTGACTTTATCTCTGGCCGCAAGATATCCGTCTTAACTGACGGGTTCTCCTCCCCATCCCACAACGTCAACGCGGATATTCCCCAGGGATCGGTCTTGGCTCCGACACTGTTTCTCTTACATATCAACGACCCAATACACAGCTTCGCTGGTGACAGCACTGTACATGCAGAGTGACAAGCCGAGTCTCGGGACCCTTTTGCATCGACGATCTCGCTCTCTTCTACTGCTATACCAACGGGCTTCGCTCCTCATAGTTTTAGCTCTTAAGGCTTCTCTAGACGTTGGCCAATATGTATGAAAAATTTGAGGGCGAAAAAGTGAAATTGTAAACAAATAAAAAATAACACCTACTTACGGTCTTTGTCTTGAATCCCTTGTACAATGAGCAGCAGTCAGTACATGAGAAGCAGTTATAAGGGATCCGCCACACCAAAATTCTGTCCTTCTGGAACCGTGTAGGAAAATGGCGGCCATCCAGGGCCATCTTCCTGGTAGTGCTTCCTCACCTCCAACAACGCGGAATTTAGCTGATTCTGGTTGTCCACAGTCTGCGATTAGAAATATATGTTTATGATTATTATATAGGGCAATTCATTGGGAGGGAGAGATATTTTAACCGTGGATAGGGAGCACTGAGATGATTATGGATAAGCTATGATTGTAGCCTTTTATAGCCAAGATAAACTTTTATCGATTTTGGCCATTTCTCTATCACTCCACAGTTTTTCAACTAATCAACTATGTTACAAAAGATTGGCTCACCTTGTGGGTCCACGTAGTTGTTAACCACCGGCGTCAGCTGCAAGTTAGTGCTTAAGGGGTGCTGTTCAACTCCGGGCTTCGACGCCTGAGTTGCTGGTGTTTCGGTGTTATAATAGATGGCAGCAAATGTAACAGGCTTATGGGTGGTAGTTGTCGTTGTAGTTGGGCTCGAGGTAGTGGTAGTTGTTGTTGTTGATGAATTCGGACTTTTTGGACAACATACTCCTGGCTCAAACAAACTCTTGAAGCATAGAGATTGTCTCAAATTACCCAAATTTAGAAGCAACTGCGGACAGTTGCTCAAATCATCGCAATACCTACAACGTTTATTTGGTTATTTCTTTTTGATAGTTTAATCGACAAGTTCAACGGGTGATCTGCAATTTTTATTCATAAAACAATGTCGAACCTGCTCTAAAATGCGATCATTAAAAATAAGAAAATTCGCGAATCCGACGTGTGCACTGTAAAGTTTTTTTGCAGGGTGCAAAATCTTATATTGGAGCTAGTCCATCTCTGGCGATCTGAGAAGGTGCTTGTTCCATGAACATGGTCATGTGACATCCGATTTGGTTACTTTGCTGTCAAAATCTGGTTAAGTTATACATTGCTGTCAAAATCTGGTTAAGTTATACTTTGCTGTCAGGTTTACGAGGGATGTCTTTTAAGTTTTGCATATGTCAAGCGTTTTTTGCCACCAATTAACCCTGGCTGGTTTATGCTCTTCAGTCAACAGGTGGGGTATCCAACGAGAAACTAATTTTCTTACTCCTAATTCTTCAGGTAAAATTTTATGAGTTGAGGTCGTTGAGATCTTCAAGGACGCCTCAATCTCGCGATATGTCACATGTCTATCTTCAATGATGAGTTTGCGCACAGCATCGATGTTTTCTTGGGTGACTTATTGTCTCTGAAAGTTGTAATAAATTATGGCGCGAAAATGTTCTCGGTTGAGTTCCATTTTTCTAATGAATTTCTGAGACTTAAAAATTCACTGTAGTGAGAACACTGCACGTATTGTTGTGAAACTTTGAATTTAAGTTTACTAAAGAGTGAGGTTAAGATTCAGTACTGACGTTCGATCCGCGCGGTCTGCTATGTTTCTATATGCAAAACTTAAAAGACATCCCTCGTATCTGTTTATTAGGAAATTGTTTATTTTATATTACAGACATGTTGAAATAATACTAGTGAAAATAAAATTACCCTTCAAATATCATGTAGTATCTTATCACCAGTATTACACAGCCAGTCTCCATAAGCGGTATAAATGGCAACGTTGGCTTGATGATGACTACAAAGCGTAGCGAAGATAATTTATTTTTTTCAATAAAGTAGACACATGGGAATTTTATTTATTTAAAATAACATCTTTATATGGCTGCAATTTAACCAACCTTTTACCAAAATACGCCTTACAGATGTTCGTGATATGACGAGCTCGGTTGATGATAAATGCAGACAATAGTTGATTGCAATGTATCGATAGAAATGTGCTTGATTATGACTCAGGAAATATATCATATCAGGCTTTGATTATTACTCAATATGCAGTGATAAAGAAGTGATATTGAAACTGAAAAACAATGAACAATTACGATAACAAATGACGTTGTAATGTCATTTGTAACAGCCCGAAGAAATACATTATCAACCATGCATGCAAAATTTTTTAGCGATAATATAAAATGATTCAATTACAACAACTAATTTGTCATGTGCTTAATACAATGACGTGAGTCATATCAAAAACGTTCAAGCATCATACGTACGTTATTGACCATGTGCTATAAGTATACACCAAACCAGAAACAAAGTGCCCACATAATAAAGATATTTTAACTCAGTCTTGGAGTTTGGTTGTATTTGTTGTACCGGAGATCGATTATTTCAAGTAGTGCTAGGCAGTCCAGATCCACTAAAGGATCCTGTTCCCCTTGGTGTAAGGTGGGGGCTTAAATACTGAGTGGTACACGAAGATAGTACGTCCATCACTCTTGTACGGCTCCCTGGTCTGGTGGTCTTGCATTGGAACTGAGACAACGAAGGCAACACTCAATAAAATTCAGCGTTTGGCCTATACAGGGTTTGTCCGGAAAGTAATAGGACTGAGTCGATTTAAAAAAAATTATTGAGCCAATCGTTACAATTCTTTAAAAACTTTCAAAATAGGCTCCTTCTGCGTCGATGCAGCGCTGCCAGTGCGATTTCCAAGGATTGAAGGCGTCACACGGAAGGCATTCTCCGGAATAGCCTTGAGAGCCGCGGTGCATGCAGGACAACTCTAATTTCAAATATAAAATAGTTGAACCTGTCGATTAGTATTCAAATTTTTGTGAGTCGTCCTACCCATATATACCTTCGGGCGTGAGGCAATTCCTTGGATCCTCTTCTTTTTTCTCCTCGAGTTTACTTTCAACTTTAACGCTTTCGACGCCAATTTTATCATCAGCTTCCTTGTTTTCCTCTGGTTCGATCTCAACTGGCAAAACTTCTCTCACCAACGGCGCTATGGTATCAGTCACGTTTCTTCCAAGTACATTTTTACTTATCGTATACAGTGCAGTTGGCACATCTGAAGATACGGTATCTTCACCTCTCGTCATATTAACCAAATATCGACCTACTGTATTCAAAGCGCCTAAGGTTTCTGTGATTTTGTGTATCGTATCTGGCTTGAAATGACGTTTCGTTCCAAGATCTTGGCTACTGCTGGATCTGTAGGATCTGGATATAGTGTGAGGCATTCTGACCCATCTGGAAGGTCCATCGTTCATTTCAGACCAAGGCTGGTAGTATGTGTATTCGTGTGAGAATGGAAATATCGAACATAATATTGATAGGTTACCTGCAACAAAAAAGAATTGTACACATACAGTTCCCGGACAGACAAAATTTTGTTCAAATTAAATTTGAAATAACTTTTTAACCTTTGCATCAATTTCGTTAATTTTTTCGTCAGGTTGTAGGTAATTTCATTGTTATCAGTATCGACTGTCGATGTTGCAAAAAAATTTAAAATATTTGTTGTTATACAGGGTGCAATTAAAAAGTGCATAATGTGTCTTCGTCTGAGAATTTCAATCCTCAACTTTTCTCAACAGTTCTTTTTTTGATTCATGTCAATATCTCAATTATTTGCTTTGCAGAAAAACGTGCGAATCATAGCCATAAACAAGAAATTGTTTAAAGCACGCTTTGCGGGATAAGACATTGTGCAAAGGTTGAAAAGTTATTCTAAATCTAATTTGAACAAATTTTTTGTTTGACCGGTTAATTATGCGTGGCATATTTCACATATAATTGATTTTCCGTACATTTTCCCTTGCAGCACTGTCACTAATGTCGATGTACCTACGTCGAGGTCTGACCGATGTGCGACTGACTTGATCTATATAATTTTGTCATACACGTTCGTAGATAAGTAACTTGTTTCTCAAAAGGGCTAACGTGTTCCGAACATGATACTTGACGAACAGGTGGATTCGTGGATGGGAAGTGCAGTGTCAACCTACTCGATGCAGTTTTTTACAAATAACGGCTTCCCAGGCCCATACCTGGACTTTATCGATCTGTTGTAAACCATCTGATGTGGAATAAATTTATCGAAAGCTGAGAGTACAGCGGAATACGGCTACGAACACAAAAGAGATCTGCTTTTAGGAATCAATCGACTAAAAATAAACCCAATTTATCAGATAAATCGGTGACATACGGGATCCAGGTTTGTTTTTTCTTGTTAATCCCGGGCTATTTAAAGGCCTATGGAAATAAATTGCAACTGGTTTTCCAATTACAGCAGAGTACATGGTATTTGCATGTATTCAGGGGTTGTCAAGGACGAAATAAAAAGGGAACGAGTGTGGCCAGTGTTCAATGTTAGATACCCCACGAAATTTTAAGAATTTGTGTTTCAGTGGAAAATAATACCAGAAAACGCATTTACAACACAAGGTATATGTATTTACAAATCTGTTTAGTGAAAAGATCCTGCGAAAATAAAAAAATTAGGCAAGGCTGGTATTGAATACTATGCTCCTCGCTCGCGACCGCCCGATGACATCAGACTTAACGTAAAAGGTACGGGGAAAGACGTACCTCCACGCGGACCACATTTCTTGCCTTGTGTGAAAATTTCATCGAAATCCGCACGGCTATCACGTATCTTGAAAAGTGACATTATGCCGATTTTTTTTGACATTATGTTCGTTTTTTGGACATTATGTAGGCTTTTCGCCAAGACGTTGACTTAGCACTTAGTTGTACGTGTTGCCTAAACGTCATGAGGCTTGTTATCAATCTTTGGCGTAAAATCTGCTTCTAAGATGGCATTACTGGAGGTCTAAGCTGTAAGTTGTATGTGTTGATAATTACATTGGGTTCTTGTCTCAAATACACTTAATTGAGATTCAAATGCTAGAAATTAGTTGCGCATCCACTTTTTCTTATCCATTCTGGAAATTACATATACAAATTTGCTGAAATTAAATTCTCCTCAGTTTTTCGTAATTTATAACTATGAACATAACCTCTCTTCAGAAAGCACAACATATAAATAACCCGTCATATTCAGCACATTTAGTAATTATTTTCTCACACAGCAAATATCACTGATTTTATACACATCCAGACCAATACACATAATCATCCAGATGCGATCTTGTTATTCTCAGAGATAAAAACTACAGACACGGATCACTCAGACTCCCAAAACTATGCAACCAATAATGCGTGTAGTTTAGTTGAGTGATTCCTTCATAGATGGACGTTCACAACGATCCTAGCGAGCAAACGTGGAATGACTGTTTGCGCCCTAAAAACTACCTAGTCTGCAAGTCGACATCTTATAGGTTTTTTACCCGTGCGGAGCTGTACTGCCAAGTTGCAGTCGGACCAAGAACAAGCGGCAGGCAGATAGACAGGCAGACCAACAGAAATGGGTAACATGGTTTTTCGAAATATAAATATCGTCAAGTACTTTGACACACTACGCTGTTAATTTTTCTGTCATTGGCATGGAACGTAGAAAGACGTGATTTCAATTGTCAGTAAGTTTTAAATCAATAAAATGTGGTAATATCCTGGAGTATAGTGTTTAAATTGGCATGTGATGAGTCGACCGGACCGTTTGCTATTACCGTTACAGTGTCAAGGTATAAGTGCCGGTTTCACTTTCTCCCAACGACCGAACTTGAGCAGTCTATAGGCATCCGCTTCAGTAACTGACGTAACATTCTGGAGTTACCCATTACAAAACAATGCTTTAGGCTGTTTTAGAGAGATTGCCGTTGCGCATAATAATTTATGCAGGGAAAATTTGCAGCAGCTGTTACGCAGTATTAAAATAATGAAAATTTTAGAAAATTAAGCCGTACGAAAGTGGAATCGGGGTTTCCCACGCAGCAATATAAATCTGTTTTCGAATCATTCGTGTATGCGAGTTCAACAGGATGTATTTTCAGCTCTACTACACAAAATCATTAAATTCGACAACAATAAAATAGTACATTACATACCTAGATTGAATTGTGACCCGTTAGTGACGGGACATTTTTATAACCTTAAAATGACAGAATGCAATTTTAAATGTCATTAGTTGTTTACCTAAATGCCATTAAAAATAAAAGTGAATAGAAACAAGAAACAAGACATGGTTTTTTGAAAAATTCTCCTCCTACTAAAGTAACTACCCCAAAACAAAATGACGAAGTTTGCAAGTACCGTAGTTTTTTTTGTATATTGCTAATAATCAGTCACTGTTGCACATATTTCCAAAAATATGTTCAATGCTGTTTATAGGATATATCCATTTTTTAGTAGAAAAAAACACAAGTGAAGCTCTTAATTATTAAAACCATAACAAACAGTTCATTATTGCAATTACGACATTTGAGATTTTTATCGAATGGAGTAGTTACCCTGTTGAGTATCTCAAAAATGAATGAAATTTTTAAGGGTGTGAAGTAAAAAAATGCAAATAAGTCAACGAGCAACTCAAATATACAGTTTTAAATTGCGATTTAAATTTTCGAGTTCATTTTTGTCAATTCTTGCACCTAGGTGTACCAAAGCTATAAGGTATTAGTGTTCATACCAACAAATGTAATCCAGTAGTGCATCCTAGTCAAATCACAAAAATTGAAACATTCACAAAACTACTCGATCACTTCAACAGAATGATACCGTTTGACCCAAATATCCTCCGAATAAGACAAGTCAAAGAAAGTGACTGTGTTGATGACTCCCTTCTTTCTTTCTTCAATTTCTCCCACTAACATCTTTGACATTGCTTTTTACTTTCATTGGGTTACAGCGGAATTTCACTTGCACTGCATCAGATTTGTTTATCGTGTTCTTGTAATGCTCCGGCGGACATGGTCTAGTTAGACTGTTTTCACACTTTTTCTATTAATAATTAATTGTTTATTTAAGAATAGTTAATACTGGTCTAATTATATTTGGAAAAGTTTGGAGAGATTCCCAGGTAATTATGAAAAAATGTATTGTAGCGTGAAAAAACTGAAATTGCATGAAAAACAAAAAACGTCATTATTGAACCTACTCGTTCATTATTCATACATCATAAAGACTACATTTAGAATGAATCGAAGAGTCTTCAGGACTCTTCATTTGATCAAAAACCAACCAAATGTTTTACTGCAAGCATAGTTCTCAATTGGTATGATCAGTCTCTCTGGTAATATATTTTTTATGCGACTATAAATAGGATAGAAAAAATTAGCTACCAGAGCTTTTGGGCTGGTCCGTCACTGTCTAATGTTTTTCCAATAACTGTTTTGAGGAGTCATCTCTGGTACCAGCACTCTTGTTAAAAAATCGTTAACGTAAGAAAGTCTAGTTGTTACTAACAATTATTAGGCCCAAACGGATTTCCTACCCTGCACCTTCTGTGTGTTGCCTTTTTCGATCTACGAACTTCTAGTATTTGGTCGATTTGGACGATATGGGGTGGGTCGACCTTGCCAGATGGACAGTAACTACCGGTAGTGCAGGGAAGGAGTGTCTGTTTGACCGATTTCAGCCATTTAATATCTCCATTGTACACGTTCGTAGCTATTTTTTTATAGAGGGTTTAACTTGTGCTGAACTTAATCCTTTATGATCTGACGACGACGTTGCATAGCAAGTATAGAGTCCACCTACGTGACACCATTTTCTTTCCTCAGTTCATGACGTCAGTCACTAAGTGCTGCGTTGTCGCGTGTTCTATTAAATGTAAACGTGACTAAAGCAAGCTCCTTTATTATGAAAATTGCAGGGTTTGGACATGTGTAAACATAGGCAGACGTAATGTTCACTTAAGATTAACAATGCAACTTATAAACAAGCGTTACATGACGTTGAACGTTGTTTTTCTCCTTTCTGAAGTAAAAATGTACCTCGAATTAGTAGAGAATAGAGAACTGAAATAGTATAAAGGCACATACGTATCGGGCCTATAGATTAGGAAAAAATGCATCAAATAGATTGACTCCCCACCTACCAAGCGACCTTGTCATCAGCTCAAAAAAGTAGATTGATTCTATGCTTCCCCGTCATCACTTAATAAAGGTCTACGAACATGTATACCACAGTCAATTCAGGCCCATACAAAAGCAGATACGCGTATCGAGGACATTGCCGTACAGGGGAGTATATGTGTGAAATATGCCGCCTAGGACTACTACTACTGCATATATAAATATAATAAGGACAAAAATTGAGATACATCATCCTCTACAACCCCCCATTCCCAATTTTTGGATCGGTTTTCAAAGCCTAAAAATCTTTTTCGTCCTTGGATAAGTAGCAATACCTTGTACCATAATTTAGGTATAATTCCCGAGTTTATATTTTTGTCAAAAAAAGATAGTAGCAATTAGATATGCAGAAACTGTTGATAGTTTTTGAAGTTTTTTGTTTTAGGTAAACAATGAAGAAAACACTCGATTTTTTACATCAGAAATTACACCCTGCAGTTTTGTTATATAAGCAATTATACCAGAGTATTTCATATTTTTGTGAGGATACACGCGGAAAAGTGAGTTTATACACACAAAACCAATTTTTTCTTAAAGCTTCAGTTCAATGTGCAGGAGAGAGAAGTGTGTATAGACACATATGTTAGAAAGAGATAGAAGCCGATTTCTATCTAAAGGCGAATAAAGAAATTCCTTGACAAAACATGTTGCTATATAATTTTTAATTTGAGAATATGAGACCGTGTGCTCGTTTGGCACGGTAACATACAAAAAACTTGTTACTACGAATGAGTTCCATAATCAGTCAATGTACTTTATTGTTGACTCATCACTGACTCACCCTGTATGATGGCAATATGACTTGGCAACATTGGAATTTTATGCTTGCGCCAGTGAGTTCGTGGTGACTCCGTTAATCCTGCATTCCATTCTAAGTACAAAATTTTATGCAACTTAATGATATTGACACCTTAAAAGTAAAGTTTCAAAAGACGTAAACAAACGTAAAGATTATTAGGATACTCAAAGAAAGTCTGAATACAATATATTCACATTTATAAGAAATCTACCGGCAAAAACCTTGAGTTTTTTCATCTGTAACGTTGGCAACTCTAGGTTTGTTCCTTTGCCATCGGTGTACACTTTTTTGAACTAGAATTCAAATTTTAAGTTCAAAAATAGTCATAAAATGCCTGATTTTACATTCTATGTCCATTTTAGCATACTAAACATAATGTTATTCTAGTTTTTAATACCTTCAAATGAAATTTGAGATAAAGTCGGATTTCTGTTTTCATTTGCTTCCATAATAACAGTATTGCATCTCTCTCGCGCTAACGCAAAATGTGTATTGAGCACGAGATAAAGAACCGTTGTGGCGTTTTGGAGTGAAACAGCCTTACTATTTTGGTGCAGTTTTATAAAATATGGAACCGTTTCCAAATACTGGTTCCCCGATTTTCAAAATTTGATAATTCTCATAACGGATCCGTCATCAGCGACCTGAAAAGCCACGGATAAAAAAAACGGTTGATATCCAAATCAAACATGACTAAATTTCTTGAAACAAGTATTACATTGATGTCTTTATTTTATTAAATACCTGACAATTTTTAGTCAAACCAGAAGGTTTCATCTGACGTCTGCACGATATGTTCAATGGAACAGATATTTGTACATTTGGCAACATCGGTAGAAAAGTCCGCCATCATTAAAGTCCGTGCACGTCGGTTTGTAGACCCCGTATCGATCTTCTCGTTGCTCCCTGTTCGTAGCTGTGTCGGTTTGAAGTCGTGAACAGTGATCTAATATCTAGTCTTCGCCTCTGCGGTCCTTGGTCGTCGTCGGCGTTTTCTGGCGGAATATTAACTAAATTATCCAAATAATAGTAAGTTATTACGTAGATACGCTTTTTCATGCATTGTCAGCTCAAAAAGTATTCGGTATTTAGTTGTATTGTAGTGTAATCCGTCTAATACTGGTGGTTGGTGTAGAACGTGTGAAAGATTGACCTTCAACTTTTTTCTGTATTAATATTTTTGATGGCTACCCTGAGTGTTATGTGATAAGTTTGCTGTTGCTAAATACATCTAACACACCCTGAATGATTTGTTGATCGAATCAACGGAAAGAACGAAATTTTGTGAACATCCGTTGCAACGAGGTGCCAGAAGCATGTCTGTTTCTATGACGCGTTTTGTTTGAAGTGCCTGTGTGACAATTTGTCGGATATTGGCATTTTCAAGGTTTTCGACATTCAAACCTGTGTTTCCGCAGCAGTAAATATCGTTATTTTGTGGAAAATTTGAAAAGGTACGCATTATATTCAAGGTGTGGCTATCTGCGGCTGACGCCATATTGTGAATCAGGTCGCCTGCCGGTCTCGTACTCAAGAGTGGTGAACATTGTAGTAATTTAGCTTGAGAGTTATCCATCTCTTTCCAGCCAAAGAAGTTGTCGGTTTAAAACTCCCTTCTCTCACTTTGTCATTTCGAGGGTTGGAAAATTGATGGTTCATGCAGCTATTCGTCATCGGATTTTAAAGGTACTGGGTGGCTATTTATATAATATCACGATTTTCGTCTAAACCTAAACGTGACACATACACCGGTACATTTGAAATTCGGTTTGAATCCCGGCCGCACCAAATAACGTTTTCGAGTGCTTTATCCCTTTTCCAGTGTTCGATTCTGGTGAGTGTTGGATTATGAATCATAACTTGTGGGTTATAACTCATTGTATTTGCAAATTAGATACTTTTTCGTCATATTTTTATTATCCAGAATAATATTGAGTACCCATAAGAAGTTTTTGTTTCAAATTTGTTCAGGCGTATTTGATACTCAGATCAGGGTGGAGATGCAGACATCTTTAACTTCCCTTTGGATAGAGAACCAAAACCATAGATCATATACTTAACTGTTCCTCATTTCAAGTTGCATTCACTATTATTTCTCTTCTTAACCATCATGAATTTTTGCCAAGAACATCTATAGTCATATGGGGTGGTCAAGCAAAATTGTTATTTAAGCAAGAACCATTATTTTGCTTGTCACAAGCTTCAGTTACTGTCAAATTATAATGATTTTCTACTACATGTAAACGTGACACACTGGTATAATTGAAATTCAAGTTTGAATCCTGGCCACACCAAATGATGTTTTAGTGGTTTATCCGTTTTCCAGCCTTCATTTTGAGTGAGTATTGTGTGAATGCAGAAGTGACACTCCCCACCTCGTGCGCTTCACTGATGGATCCTTTTGCAAGGAAACAGGATCCGGTAGGGTGGGAACATTTGGGAAGCTTTGCTCTTGGTAGTTGCATAATGTTCTTCCAGGCAGAGATAGAGTAATGGACAAAAGTATATAGACAAATTATTGTGCTGTATTTCTTTTTACCTTGTTTTATTAATACACCAACATAATTCGTTATAGCGTAATACTCACTTATACATAAATAAATTCATTAGACTCCCTTCAGTAAAAAATTAATTGAAAAAACTGGAACTATGGAGGACAAAAATATATAGACAAATCAAAACAATTATAGTTATAGAAAAAAGAAGCGAAGTTCATTGAATTATAGAAAACCAACAATGTTTGTGTTAATATTTTGAAGCATAACCATTATTATCAATCACCACCTAGCATCATCTCGGCTTAGATTGTAGAAGTTTCTTGATATAAGATTCATCAATCTGTCTCCACTTTTGCTCTAAAGCGGCAAAAAGTTCATCCTTGTTTGAATAATTTTTATCTCGTATTTGCTTATCATATTCCCATAGATTTTCAATGGGGTTTATATCGGCAGACTGTGAAGGCCATTTGAGAACTGGTATTTTTTCATCCAGAAAGAATTTCTTTGCGAGACTTGAAGTGTGATTCAGGTCATTATCTTGCTGGAAGATTGATCTTAAGGGCATATTGTCTTCCATATAGGGTAACATGACATGCTTTAGTATGTCTATGTATACAAACTTAACCATAATGCCATCTATTATATGTAAAGGTCCCACCCCAAACCCCGAAAAGCACCCCCAAAACCATAACAGACCCGTTTGACAGTAGACAAAGTATACTTGAAGTTCAATTTTTGTCAACTAGGATGTCTAACGTAATGAACACCAAACATATTGAACATATTCATCACTAAAACATACCCTGTTCCAGTCACAGATACTCCAAGTAAGATGCAACCCTGCCAATTGTAATCGGTCCTTAACGGTTTTTCCTCGAGATTAGCGGCTTTTTAATCTTCTACTTATAGTTTTCGTAGAAACACCCTCTCAAGATCAGAGGTGGTTTTTGTTTACCGCACGAAATCTTTACCGGAAAAATATTGCTTCTTTCTTCCTTTTCAGCCATCCTGGAGCTTTCTTTTTCCATTTTTGTCTATAAGATTGTGAATAGTTTTCTATTTACCTCAGAAGTTGAAGCACTATCACCTGCCATTTTAGTTTAATATTCAATTAAAAACGGACGAGTTTTGCTTGTCCATGATGCCGTAATGGTAATGACATTATCTACTAGTCTGTAGGTACTTTTACATCCCAGCCCAGCCAAATAACCTTTTGAGTACTTTATACATTTCTGTGTTCATTTTTGGTATAACAAATACTTTAAAATATTGGGTTTGAATGTTATTTCTTCTGTTAACATTCCAATGCGTTTTCCAAAATTATGCTGATTATTGTCATTCAAGATGAATAATTACGTTAGGAGCTATACTCAACAATTTCTCAATAGTCTTGCAATATCCAGAATATAAAGTTTGGTTGTCAAACTGATGTAATGAAATTGACAAAATACAATTTTAAATATAATTTATTATTTATGTAGGTGCTTTATTATCATTATTTACTGAGGAAAGGTTCTCACTGGGAGATTGCAATCAAAAATAGTGTTTTCTCAGATTATTAGTCAAAAAAGCAGTATATAGGGATCCATCAATTCTCTATATGGTGAGAAATTTCATATCCATAATGTTCCCATTAGAGTTATCTAGATCACAAGCTATAAAGAAAGTTATGATTCATACTTATATTTATATGCCAGACAGTATATTACATTAATGGAGTAGTTGTTAAACCATTCATAATTATTATGATTGAATATGTTTAAATAACCCCAATTGTTTTTATCTCTCTTGTTGGTCGTTTATTTAATCACTGAACATTAATTGTAACATAAAACACAAAAAACCTTGTCATTGCATATCTTAATATCTCTTGAACATCTTTAATTGTTAAAATTATCCATTCTCTTGAATAAAGTAGATTGTAGAGAATCATTAGACCTTACAAAGTCATCAGTCTGCTTAAATGCATCATTCTAAATAGGCTTTTGAAAATAAGTGATCAATCTTAGAAATTTTTGGGGGATATTTACTTTGCATGGCTGGTATAGCCCTACCATGCATTGGTTGGAAACAACATTGCAGATGATTTTAATTCTTCAAATACGTCGTGTGTAACTATAGCGTTTGTTCCAGAACTAGTATTATATCAAAATGTCTGCACCCGATAAGGATGAACTAGTTCAAAGGGCCAAGCTGGCCGAACAGGCAGAACGGTACGATGACATGGCGTCAGCCATGAAGTCAGTCACCGAAACCGCAGTGGAACTTAGTAATGAAGAAAGGAACCTGTTGTCTGTCGCATACAAAAATGTGGTTGGTGCTAGGCGATCATCATGGAGGGTCATTTCCTCGATTGAACAAAAGACTGAAGGTTCCGAACGTAAACAACAGATGGCCAAAGAGTATAGAGAAAAGGTAGAAAAAGAACTAAGGGAGATCTGTGATGATGTTCTGGTAAGTACAATAGTTGCACAACTTGGATCTTCACCATTTTGGTACCGATCTTGTGATGTCATAGCAATGAGATAACTGCCGCATAACATCTACAGACAACAAAATTCTCTGAAACGTAACATAACGTCGTCACTCTAAAATTTATCACTTTATCTTATTGTTGAAGTTGAAGCTACAATTTTTAAAAAACTGAAATTTTCCTTGGCTGGTATTATTGCAGAATTGTCCATAAATCACATGTGGGCGAGTCCTACAAAGTAAAAATCGTTTGAGAATTGTTATTGTTTGTTGAATGTATCAAACAGCTGTAACCTCATTTTAAAGAGAAAGCACGGGTGTATATATTTAAATTAGTAAAACAGATTTATGTGATCAATTTTTAGAATTATGATAACATTTTAAAATTTTGATGTCTTGAATTTAAACATTGCTGGTGCAAGGGCTTGCTGCAAATAACTGTCACTGTTTCAACTACTGAAAATAGTCAAAATATAGCAACATATGAAAACTTGGTGCACATTCAAGTAATGTTTATGTTACTGGATATGGGCTTTTTAACTATTTTGAATATTTTATTATATTACTGAATGATAGGTATATCACCATTGAAAACAGCTTAGTCTTTGTTCATGATGTTTTTCTATACTTTCGTTCTACTGAACAGAATTGAAGATAGTTTTATTCTGATGCCTCTGTTAGGACATTTACAGTTTATCTGGTACAACAGTAAATCTGGAGCTTCTTAATTTCTGTTTCAGGGTCTTCTGGACAAATACCTGATCCCTAAAGCCAGCAACGCCGAATCAAAAGTATTCTACCTTAAAATGAAGGGTGATTATTACAGGTATCTTGCAGAAGTCGCCACAGGAGACACAAGAAATAGTAAGTTGATTTTTTTGATAAAGCTACCGTCGAATTTTATCTTGTATTCTCTCATTTTGATTATATCTATAGGAAAGTGATTTTCCCTATTATTTTTACAATTTGTATTATTTATAAGAAAGGTTAATTAATTTAAACGATACTGAACCCGTATCATTATCAACTGCTATTTATCATTAAACTTAGTTTTTTCTATGCAATATGTAGTGTACACTTTTAGTGCTTTTGTAATATCCAGAATACCATAAAAATGAAAGCATCGATTTTGTTGAACATAGATAACGTTCTGTTTATTGAACCAGTAATACTGCGTGTCCTAAATTTCCTATTGAGTAACATGAAATTTATATTTGCTATTATCTACTGTGAGAGATGCTGTAATAATAGTCCAGTCCCCAGGCGTCAAAAAGACTAGACAAGGCAAAAAGCCTGCATTTATTTTTCGACTCGATTTTTTCATAATTCCGTTTTTTTTTTGATGTATCAACATAAATCAAGAGCTTGCTTCAAGTAATTTTTTTGAACAAATTGCAAAAATTCAGTAATTTTGCTTTGGACAAAGTTTCTTGAAGTATCTAACGACCGTCTTTGAGTTATTAGAAATAAATCTGGAAAGCCCTTAAAATAACATTTTTCAGTGCTTAGAACGTCGTTAAAAACGATTATTTTTGTGTGAAAGTCCAAATCTTCTTGTCTTATTTTGCAGCATTATTTAATTTTTCGCCTTATCTAAGCAGAGTGGTTGATATTTTTATGGGGATACTTTTTGAAACTTTGTACCACTTTATCTTTTCTCGAAATCACAGTATCAAAAAATGAAGTCGATCTACTTGAAGCCAATTTTTCCGTTTCATAGTAGGCGTTTTCTTATAAAAATCTTACTGATCGTAGGAAAAATGTTTGCACTCAAAATTTGGCAGTCTTTTTGCACCGAATTTTGCGTTTCTGGGGAATCGAGTGTTTCCCAAACTATTAAAAGCTAATTTGTAACGCTAAACAGTATTGCCTATCATGTAATACTTTTAATTGGCTATATAAATGTTCTATTAGAATGATGAAACAATAATTATCTAGAAAGTATAGAATGTGAAGCTATTGATGGCATGGACATCATTTCTGATGTGGGTGTTCAAGGAAGACTTTTCACCTGTTTGTGTTGAGTAGGTTTTAATTTCTTTTTTAATAGCGCCGCCTTTCATTTTCACGGAAATTACTAATTTGAATTCTATTTTAATTCTCTGTGGGTGGTCTAAACTTGTGAATTGAAAATATTAATATTTCTTTTATCAATAAATGATGCTGAATGCTTATGCTCATCGTGGTATAACAGATCTTCCGGGCATCATTTTTTGTTTGTATTCTGGTATATCAAAAAACTAAATTCACTACACGATAGACGAGAATGCTCGTCAACATTTTCCATTTTCATCTTCATTTCTCACTGAACTTGCTGATTTGCATATGTTATCATATTGTACTATTCACCTTTAGAAAATGACGTCAACAAACAACTAATGCGATTTTCTTTCAAAACTGGGCTATATGCAGATGACATACATTGATTGTTTTGAGTTTTTATTTTTACGGTTGAAACTTGTATTACGTTTAAGCAGCGTTCGCGTTTTACTTGATATTGGTACGCGCTTTGCTCTTAACGATATGCGTACTAGATATATATATATATATATATATATATATATATATATATATATATTTTTTTTTTTCATCTGTATAGTAGTCTTTGATCTGTACGCATAATTCGTATGCGTACAGATCAAAATCTTCTATTGCGCCTCGTCAAAATGAAAATTTGCCTATTTTAAAGAGCCTTAAAAGTCACATTTTCAATCTCCCAAAAAACCGGATTTTTTTCAGGAATAATTTTGAGGAAGTATACCAAGAGAAGGCATACAAGGCATTTGAAATTACAGAAACACACCAATTTGCAGCCCACAAAATACACTTTTCATTCAGTGTGTGTCTTTGTTGTCAAATGGAGTAAAATAGAGAAATAATGCGGTGCCAAATAATTTACCAATATTTATTTTAAGGAACAACATCGATGACGGCGACCGCTAAACGTGAAAAACATTCCTCACATTGTTCTCTCTTGGTATACCGTCCTAATATTTGGTGATATTCTAGTTCCTAACAATATTTATGATACTGGGCCAGGTCTGTTACTGATATTTCATAATAATTATAGCTGTGAATCAGGTAGATATGGTATTTATTACTAAAAATTTTCCAGCTGTTGTCGACTACTCACAGAAAGCATACCAAGATGCTTTCGAAATTTCAAAGGCCAAAATGACACCCACACATCCAATCAGGCTAGGTCTGGCCTTGAATTTCTCAGTCTTCTACTACGAGATTTTAAATTCACCAGACAAAGCCTGCCAGCTGGCGAAACAGGTTAATATACTTCTGTCAATCTTGCAGCATTCTGTTGGAAAAAATGTATAAATGCTGTCTTCGTGGCTTAATTTCGTTTTTGAAAGGTATCGTTCATATCGTCAACGATATTTTTCTAGCCAGCAGAATCTACGCTTTTTGATAGAAGAGGAGATGCTAAATGTTTTCACACATTTTCCAACAGAATAACAGGTCTAAAGGCAGAATTACACGAACGGCGATTCAGGAAGATGCGGAGAGTTTCATTTATTTTGTTTTATTGTTTTTATGAAAGGAGGCATTTATTATTTTATATGGTGCTAGTCTAGCGGGTCCCTGTTTGTTTTATTTTGTTGGTTATAATCATATAATCTCAAATTGTGTCCATTCACTCCTGTAGGTTTTTCACCTGACTGGTAATTGTATGTCATTTATGGACGAGATATTTTTTAATACATTGTGCTTTTGGAATGGGTGAATTTAGCTATTCGAAATTTAGGCTGATGAAATTTGTAATAGTGACAGTTGGAGTACCAAATACAGTTGTGATCTTTTTGCAGGCTTTTAACATCAATTTTAAATGCCATCTGATTCATATGATTGTCCACAATTTTTGCACTGCCCTTCGATTCGAGAATCTGTTTTGTTTTTGATATTCACTAGACTATAATTTAGTAATTACGCCTAACTTCAAGAGAGAATGGACTCAACATTTTTGGCAGGGTTCTACTGGTCATCAGTTTTTTTTTTCGGGATACAAACTAGTGTTTGTATGCCGTTTAATATGTTTTTCTTTTTGTCTAGAAGTGGTAGAAGACTCTCAAAAGGCATACCAAGAAGCATTTGACATAGCAAAATCGAAAATGCAGTCCACACACCCTATCAGGCTAGGACTTGCTCTAAATTTCTCAGTGTTTTATTACGAAATCATAAATTCACCTGCAAGGGCATGTCATTTAGCTAAACAGGTTATTACCAGTTTTTAATATATTCCTTTTAGTGTGATTTTTGCACTTCTACCCATCTTATTAACATCTGCCAGTTTGTGGTGTAATTCTGCCTGTATACTAACTGCTTTTACATTTAGTGGTAGTCCTATTTGTAGCATATTGTTCGTATAGTGTTATGCTTATTCAACTAACTCCTCTGAAGTGTACTATGATATAGTATGACTCAGAACAAGAGATCAGGATTTTTGCTGTGACAATACAGTATCGTTAAAGTTGGGACTTTCTTCTACAGATCATATAGTTTATGTAACAGAAAGCAAATTGTTCCTTTAATAGCCGATAATCTGAATGGGCATACGTGAAAATGTCTGATGAAAAGAGGCATCGCGCGGTGTGTAGGTTAACCTAGTTTATTTACAAATGAAGAGATCAGATCTGCAGATTCCTGATGTCCGAGAGCGTCTTAAAGATGATATTGATACTTCGCGAGTGTATTCAGATTGTTGTCTTGGATGTTTCCATCTCGAGCTGCGTACGTTTGTTTATATCGCTCAAAGACCGTCAAGGTGGATACAAACCTAGACGTCTGCAAATGTTGCAAATTAGGTTAACAATTTAGTACATTTGCTAACAAGACGTGATAGGTCAGTATTTATCAACATATATTCCGTGAGATGGTACATCGGTGTAATCGGCCTTTCATCTTTTTCCGCATTGAACGTGAACGTATTGAAAACCTCATGGAACTGTTTTCAGAAAATAAGTTAGTTAGGTGTCAGTAGTGATACATATACCCGTTCGTTCGTTATTGCAATTTTCTGTTTTTACAAATCCTATTAGGCAAAGCTGCACTAGCTCAAGCAGATCTTTAAACCTAATATCTCAAGTTTTTTGTATACGTGTCGATAGGAAAATTTACTTATATACGCAGGAATTTGGTGTTTTATAAGAAAACTTTACTTATTTTTACGAGAACTATATGCAGTATAAAGGAAAGTCTCAACTTTGAAAACACTCGAAGTCAAAATCGTTTACAAAAATGCTAACATAGCGACATGTACATTATTTTTATCTTTTGGTTATCTTCATTTTGTATGTTGAATTATACTGTTCATATTATCGACAATCTGCTACATGCAATGATTTGGTTTCTTTGGCATAGTTTATTTAAGGTTTTACCCAGATTAAAGCGCGAACTCTTAAATAGTTTATGAATCTCGCATGCAATGCTTGGTGCTGTCATCATTTCAAATGCAAGGCTGAATACACCAATGCTATATGCGGCACGTCGTGGCGTGTGGCATCTTGTATGCTTAGTAGTCAGAATTAGTTTTTTGGATTTATAAGAAAAGGGTTTATATACTTTTTTGATCGCTTAGAAATACGTTCTTTCTGGGATTACTGTCATCATAGCATTTCACGAATGGAGAAATAGCTTCTTTAGACGCGGAGAGTGTCTACAAACGGACCCCTATTTGAATATTGATTTAAAAAATATGAAGTATAGCGTAACACATTCATAAATTTAAAAGCAATTTCCAAAAATCTTGCATTCCCCTGATTTGGAAGTAGGTGTCAAAAACCAGTAAAAATGTTCAGGCATCAGGATTTTATTCTCAAGATACCAGACAATACATTTAAAACATACATAATTCTGTAGCGAAAAAAGTTCCAGCCGTATATTTCATTTTCTATCCCCTCTTGTTCCAGAAGGCATCAATCAAGCCTGTCTAGGACTCCTTAGATTTTACAATTATCTTTTTCTTTCTTCATTTTGCATAAGTTTTCCAATATCAAAACACATATTGGTGCTATTAGTAGCAGTAATATACAGTAGCGGACATAAGTTTGGAAACAAATATCATTATTATGAACTATTTCATATACCTAAATTAAAATTGTGAAGGAACAGACAATGTAAATATTATAGTCTCGCTTTGGTTCCCTTACTAATACAAGGTTTATCTTATCACATTCAAATTCTCTGAAAATAAAACACGTGTTATTTTTAAATACACGACAAAAGTATGGAAACATTTCAGCCTTTACCGAAATTTATTCGTTCTACGATAGTCTGATATTGTGTGCGGTAAATATTAACATCAGTGAGAATGGCAAAAGTAAAAGATTTAAGAGACAAAGTAACTGAATTATTTAGAAGTGGTATCAGAAATGTTGACATTTCTCAAAGATTACAAATGAACAAAGGGACGATTTTGAAAATTATTAGTAAATATCAAGAATACGGATCAACAGCAACGCGGTCCAGGTGCGGAAGATAGAAAAAACTGTTTTGAATCGCTACATTAAAATCCTCGAATGCCAGCCAACGTAGATTTTCAATAGAATCGTAGACGGTGGATTTTGGGCTAGTTCTGAAACGGGTCCAATTGTTAAAATTGTTGGGAAAATGGATCAAAAACTTTACAAAGATATTTTTAGTAAACACATGCTTCCTTTTGTTGAAAAAGAAATACCTTTACGATGGACATTTCAGCAAGATAATGACTCCCAAGCATACCTCAAAATTCTTAGAGGTCTGGTTAAGACTAAAAAATGTTAATGTTCTTTCATGGCCTTCGCAATCCCCGAACCTAAACCCTATAGAACATCCTTGGGAGCATGTTAAAAGGCAACTGATAAGAGAAACTTGAAAAAATAGGAACGATTCATTTGATTATTTAAAAAGTATTTGGCAAAATATCCCAACAGTCTGTAAAACATTGGTGTCTTGTATGAGCTGCAGATGTTAGGCAATGTTGAATGCTAAAGGCTATGCTACCAAATCTTAGGTAAACAGGTATTTTTTAAATATTTTTGTTGGGTTATTGTATTTAATTTTGCGATAAAAAATCTGTGTCCATACTTTTGTCGTCTCATTTTCGGGCATAAAATAATATGAAGGTATTTTAATCTGTAGTACCACAGCAAACACAAATTGTCATTTGTATCCTCAAGCCTGTAAGCAAACTATATGAGAAAAAATAGTCCTTAATAGTAAAGAATAAAAAATTTGCGCACTTTTTAAAAATTACTAAGAATATTTTCAAACTTTTGTCCAGTTACGGAGCACGCACAGACATTGAAACGAGGGGTCGGTTCTAGGGGAGGGGGTCCTGTGTAGGACACTTTCCTCTGTAACATACTATGTAAAATCATTCATATAATACGAACGTATTTTGGTACGACTGTTTTGAAAATACGTTTGATTTTTGTTTAGGCGTTTGATGATGCAATAGCAGAGCTGGACACTCTGAATGAAGATTCGTATAAGGACAGCACACTCATCATGCAGCTCCTCAGAGACAACCTCACGCTTTGGACGAGTGACACGCAGGTATCTATACTTTTTTGTAAAATATGTAAATTCCACTATTAATAGTACCAAGAATTGCTGTTAAACGAGTTTATAGCGTTCTTTAAAAAAATGCACTTGATACTATTAACTATATTTCCGCCTTTTTTACTATAAAATCTGACATATGATTCGTGATCAGCTACCTTAAAAACCCGAAAGATACAGGATGGCCAATAATCCACTACACTAGTGGAGCACCCTAAGACTCTACCAGACATCGTTATGAAGAACTATGTATTTGTCGTACGTCATTATGCACTATTTAAAAAAAGACTTGCATTTGCTGCCATACAAAATTCATTTAACTCTGGAACTACAGCCTAGAGATATGGTCAAAACTTTCTAGCTCCTCAAATCCAATAATTTAACCTGCAAAACATGTGGTTCCAGCAGGACGGAGCAACTTGTCACACAGCTATGGAAACAATGAATCTTTTGCGAACAATATTTCCGGGACGTTTAATTTTTCGATTTGGTGATGTCAAGGTCACAGGATTTAACGCTCCTGACTTTTTTATATAGATTTTTAAAAATAGGGGTTACGCAGACTAAATACTGTAAAGCAGCTGAAGAACAATATTACGGAAGCGATTGAAAATATTCCTCCCGAAACCTACCAAAAATAATAATTTCTAAGCTTCAATTAAAGATTAAGATGTAAAAAATGGACGTATTTTATTTCATTCAGTTAAATATCAGCCACTTTGTATAATTATAAGGCTCATTCCACATTGATGATGAATCATTTATTTTACTTCCAACACGTTACCAAATTTACAGTCTGCGAAAAACCAAATAGTGTTTTCTCTGCCCTTATTAGAAACGGATGTCTACTTAACTAGTCTGTAAGAATCTCAACCATGCCAGCCGTTTATATCTTCCGCATCTACAAAAGAATCGAACTAGTTGGTGAAAGCGTCACTGTCTTGGAATATTAAAAGAAATGCTGGTTTACACATCTGTTTGATGTTGGTAGTCTGTACGTTTTTTTTTCTTTTTCAGGGAGAAGCGGATGAGCCTCAAGAGCCAGGTGATAACTGAAGTGTTGGGAGTCTGTTTTTAAAATTATCCTTTAAAAATGAAATTTCATATAAGTTAACGTATTTGTGGAACTTGGTTGTGAAGTTTCATTGACAGTTTCAGTTTCACACAATGAAACTTTTGATATTTAACAAATATTTTTAGGAGATATATGTAAAATTGTTAAATTAATTTACATGTTCACACAACCAGCGTAATTCTTGCAGCAAAGTACATACTCTGTAATTAAAACGTACTGTTGCATATTCTCTTCATCTAGTATATGTAATTTTATGTTTGAAATTTCATTTTTTGCTGACAGTTGTGTGATTGTCAATTCTCCTGCAACAAATTCGTTTTTATATTCATTCTTATTGTAAGATTTTTAATTTTATATATATAAATGTACCTATCTCTTCCTGATGTGTACGAATTCTTTTTAAGTTTCAGCACATTTCAGTTCTAACTGGTTAATGATTAAAATTATTTAATACCGGTTTTGTTTGAATTTATTTTTTTATTTTTTTACTTTCATTGTTACATCTTTTCATCTCCTTTAAAGCATTACATACCCTTAGTAATCGAAATTTTTGCACTTGCTGCATGGGCTTCTTGAGCCTATTGCTATTATCCATTCTACCTTGACCCCTATGTTTACCGTCAAACACTCATTTTGGATGTGCTATATAAATGTATGAATATGTATCAAAATAAACATGCTATCAAGCTCTATTTGTTTTCTGTTGTATCTGTCAAGTATTATTGTCAGATATTAATAAATATTTAAAGCCATTTACAGTGTTTCATTGCAGTAAACATTCTGTTTAGAACAGGGATGAGAGGCAGACTTTTGGGAGAAAAAGTATCCCGCAGCTCCTTGCGGTTCTGCCATCCTTATAGCAAATCCTCATTTACATGATTTCCCCCAATACAAATTTTGTATTTTCAATGATCAAGAATCTTAAATTTCCGTGATGAAAAGTTTTTGATTGGATTAGTTTATTGTATTCTATTACGTATTAGATTTGGCTTTGTTGAAAAACAAAGCGTCCTCCTCCTTACTTGCATTGGGGTTCACTGAACGGATTTCAGCAGCTCAAGGTAGTCATTCAAAATGGTGGACCTTATGGCAGCTACCGATATGCAGCGCCATCTATTGGAGAGTAGCCGCCACCAAAAAAAATTCGTTCAGTTGGGCTACCAACCGATAGATGGCGCTTCTTTGTAAAGTGCTATCGCAGACCTCACAAAATTTAACTAGTCAAAAAGATCCTTTAGGGGCGGCTGGTCGGGGTTCGGGATGGGTCTATGGCAACGAATCTTCAATGATCAAGGATCTTAAATTTCCGTGAGGGGGGTTAAAATCCCCCCATTTTTGATGTAAACTATGTTTAAGATTTGTTTATTATATTCTAATATTACGTATTAGATTTGGCTTTGTTGAAAAACAAAGCGTCCTCCTCCTTGCTTGCTTTGCGGATTACTGAACGGATTTCAGCAGCTCAAGGTAGTCATTCAAAATGGTGGACCTTGTGGTAGCTACCGATATGCAGCGCCATCTATTGGATAGTAGCCGCCACAAAAAAAAATTCGTTTAGTTGGGCTACCATCCGATAGATGGCGCTTCTATGTAAAGTGCTGTCACACACCTCATAAAATTTAACTAGTCAAAAAGAACCTTTAGGGGCGGTTGGTCGGGGTTCGGGATGGGTTTATGGCAACGAATCTTCAATGATCAAGGATCTTAAATTTCCGTGAGGGGGGTTAAAATCCCCCCATTTTTGATGAAACTATGTTTAAGATTTGTTTATTATATTCTAATATTACGTATTAGATTTGGCTTTGTTGAAAAACAAAGCGTCCTCCTCCTTGCTTGCTTTGCGGATTACTGAACGGATTTCAGCAGCTCAAGGTAGTCATTCAAAATGGTGGACCTTGTGGTAGCTATCGATATGCAGCGCCATCTATTGGAGAGTAGCCGAATGAAAAATATAGTCATTCTTCATCCTAATTTACCCTGTCTAATCAAGAATTTTCACCTCAAGCTACAAATTTTATAACAGGGAAAGCAGAGACAGCAGGTGGTTGTACGTAAATAAAGAAATACACAAATTACGTACATATTTTTATTCATAAAATCAAAGTCGTACATTTATAAAAAAGACTTACGTAATATTGCGATTATAATCATTGTCATTACAATAATAATAAAAAAATATGGTCGTAGTATAAGTACTCTTTAAAGTCATCTGATAGTACAGAGAGCTACTCCGGTGAAAAAACAAATTCACTGAAACTTGAGTAATGTAACATTTGCTTTTCCTATATTGGCACTATTTATTCAACATACATACTAAATTCGGATGATACGGCACGACGTAATAAATATGAGACAATTTTTGTATAAATCAGTACACTGTAGAACGTTCTAAGTCTAAGAAAAACCATTGATGTCCAAAAGCTCACCCTAGAAGTATATTCGTCTTAACCATGTATAAAAAAAAGATTGCCATTCAATTTATAAAGCATTGTTCAGGTACGATCGAGTCTCATCTACAGAAATATTCTTTGAACTTCCACTTTGCATCTTGAAAAAAAACAGAATTTCGGTAGCTACAGGCGAATGGCATTTGATGTCAAACTTACAGCTATTTGATAACTGTTCCTAAGAAGTCACTCCTCCATGAGAGTAATATGAAAAAAATCAACATCAGGTAAGTTAGATTACCTGAAAATATTTCACGCAAAACAGTTCTGATTGACTGATGATCGGGCAAATTTTGCAGAAAGCTTCAATTAGATTGCTTTTGATCGGTGGCAGGTTTCTATTTTTCAATTGTCGCCAGACTGTCAGACATTGGCCAGCACTGTATAACTTGAGACCCTAACTCTGTTAAATTTACATCTCGTCCGAAGTACATATTAATAATTAATAATTTCACGTTATAATGATTCTGAGATTAGTCTCGGGCTATACAGGGTGTCCGCAAAGTTGGGGTTTTCCTTTACACGACGTGTAGTCCTTGAGAAAAGAAGCGGATTTTCTTAGTAGCATATTATCCAATCTCTTAAGAAAACCGAGATATTGGGCTCCGCAAACCCAATCAAACCGAAGCCGGTCCTGTCCTATCCCTCGATCACGTCCTTATACGACGTACGACTACGATGTAATTACGGATTTTACGACAGAGTCGTACTTGGAATTTCAATTCAACTGAACAGTGACTGCTTCTTCATTTAATTTTTTTATTTGTTCGCTCACGTTTCACCACACATCAGCTTTGTTATATCAAGCGTAGTTGTGTCTGGAAAGGAGAACTCCAACTTTGCAGACACCGGGGGCCAGAATTCTAACTTTTCGTGTACAATCTAAAAACTATACTAACAGAGCCGACAATAGTGCAACTAAATAAGTAGATGATACGCATTAACGAAGAATATGACATTGTTACGTGATCAAGTTTTGTTGTGAACAGTGTGCCCAACTTTAACTGTAATACTTCCCGTCGTCAGCCGAAATGATGGCACGGTATCACTGTTTTTAAATGCTGATACGAGCTATAAATTATTGATATTGATGGGGCTCCAAACTGATGGTTTTACAGAAATAACTTCTTTGGGCAAGTGTAAGAGTAATGTCAATATATCCATCTGTATAAAATGATTTAGCCTAAAAATAAACATAAAGATTAAGGAATGTTTGAGCATTTTGGTAGAAATACAGAATGTCCCAAAAGTAAAAAGGAATTGGCAAAATTAGTGTGGCACTTGAAATACCCCCTTAGTCTTTCTAAACTGCAGTATACATCGTAAAATGTAACGGAAACGACTAATGGAACACCCTGTATATCGATGGCCTCCTTATATATCACTTGGGCCTTCGAACAGTGCCGTAACCTTTAGGCCCGCACTTACAAACTTTGATTCATTTTCTACCTGGAGATAACCAAAAAAATTATCTGAGATATCCCGGCGTGTTATATGATCATTTGTCATAGCTATATAATTCTTGAAAAGATTAGTGTCTCATAAATGGCGCTGTAGCCAACTCCATGAATATTCAGGGTGTCAGAATTTAACCACCCCAGCTAAATATTTCCGGAACTCCGCATCTCAGGAAAAATTTGTAGGATTTCGAGAGGGCAAAATGCTGCTGACCGTGACAATGACCTTGATTCCAACCTTGGAGGTCAAGCGATAGGACCTGGACTATGACCATCATTATGGCCAAGGCCAAGGTCACATCAAGACTTTAAAAACAGTTTGCTTTAATAAAAATGTTCAAATATACAATTTCTTCCTCTTTGAAAATTTTATATAGAGGTTGTTCTACAAATAACATTGAAGATTGACATGACCTTGACATTGAGGTGAAGGTTACATTTCGACGGAGCATCTTCACGCTTTTTCTAACTCCAAGATAAAAATACGTTTCCTTTGGAAATGTTGACTTGGTCTTGAAGGTCATGGTCAAGGTCACCCTTGAGCGACCCCCACAAACCTCTCAACTGTGCTGTCAAACATTTTTGCTGGAGCAAATTGTTTTAAATGAGCTTAAAAGGGGAGCAAATATTTGCTTGACCTTGGAATGCCCTTAAAGATCTTGGTTGATCCCATGGTCAAGGTCACTATCGTTCTGCCCACTTTAAGCCCTACTACTTTTGTTTGAAACTTGTTTTTTTACAAAACGGGTGTCGAACTAGTTTGTTTTTCTTGGATGAGTCGTTTTTGGCATATTCAGTTGAGATCAAATGTACTGTACAGTCGGCTACAGCGCCATCTATGAGACATTAAATTTCTAATTATTGCCGTGACGAATTCTCATAGGTGGCTCAGATTTCAGACATTTTTTTGTAAACCTTCAGGTAGACTACATTAATCAATGGTCTAAATGAGAACTTTGCATGGTACTCGAAATACGACACAGGGTGAGAGTACTGCGGTACTACAGGTTACTGCTCGAATGCCCAGGTGAGCATAGATAGAACCGCTGGGACTATAGATAAGTTTGTATATCTATAGCATGAGTCTATAATGTACTAGAAACACCTTTTGCTCTATTTGCTTTGTGAAAAGGCATTCAGTGGTATCTTATCACAACACTTAGGATGTATATATCTAAGTCATGGCTGGTTACTATTTACAAAGACTAAAGCTATTTACAATGGAACGACGTCGCATAAAACTAATAAGTTTTTGTTGTTCTAAAACCGCATCACGTTGGAAATAGTAAAATATAATAGCCAAGCATTTTTTAACCCAAAAGGTAGATAAGATTTTGAAATCTTGCATAAATAGGTAATACTTTGAAACTGATTGTTTTGAGTAAACAAACTTTTGAATTTTGTACTGCACTAAACTTTGAAACATAGTACAAAATGAGTAATGTCAACGTTCGAAAAATACAGAGTGCAATTTACCTGACCTTGTTTATTTTGATGCGCGCTCGAAATTTGAATAAAAAAGTCCATGTCTTTTCGGTAAGCTAAAAAACTAAATAATTTTATGTGAAAAACAGTATTCATTCGGAGGAAGATAACAACATGAGGCGGTATCACGAGTCACAGGGACAGTAAGACCCAGGGTATCAAGAACTTCAGAAAACAACGTATAGACGGGTTGATCAGGAGACTTTGGTTTTTCGTTTTGCGTAAGATCTGTATCGAAAAATAGCCAGGGTCAAAGCCGGAAACATGAAGACTTTGTCATGTATCGAAAAGTAGGAATTTTAAAAAATTGAAACTTTTGAACGAAAAGGAATAATGAAATAAAAAAGACGCTATCCAAATGTCCAATCTCTGGACTTTCTCACGCAACAACCGTTAGGTCCGTAGCTCCGTTATCTTTGGAGGAGATAGAGATTAAATATCGAACAGCACGAAAATCTATAATTTTTTCGACTTTGACCCCCCGTTTCTTTCTCGTACTTCGACGGTTCGTAGTCGCTCGTGAAGCGCCGAGTTTCTAGTTTCCGAAACGGTATCGTTTTCCGATAAAACCTTTCGTGAAACATCAAAAAAAAAAACGGAAAAACCGCGCCGATGTCGAAACGCCCCAATCCAAACTCGAGAGGGGAAGTAAAAAAACAAAAGATCACCGCTTAATATATAATTAAATTCCGAAAAACTCTGAAAAAGCCATTCCGACCCTGTCCCCCAAATATTGCAAATTTAGGAAGGAGCAATCTTGCGTTTTTGAACCGCAAAACGTGACAGGGCGTATCAAATATTGTTTTCCAGTTTCTTTTTTACGTTTTCAGAGGTGTTTCACAAATTAACATCGCTATTCCAAACTTAGTGTTTCTAAAAAGGAAAGTACCAGCTTTCACAACATGTGACTTGACACAATCCACTGCATGTCCTCAAATAGTGGCGTGTAAGTTACTGCTGTGTAAAAACATTAGTTTATACAGCTTAGATTTTCTGCATGCTGCTATCTTCATCCGAAGAACACCTTATCGCGATTTAAAAATAACGGTTTCGTATGTCGGCGTCTGACCAGTTCCCATTCCCGTAGAGTTTCTGTACATGATGTCAGATCATTTACAAACATTCAAATTTTGAGATCAATGGCGACCAAGTTATGTTCACTTAACCTCGTAACTATTATAATGCTTAATGCTAAATTCCTAATTTGACGTTTATAATTTTCTGAAGAATCGCCACCAAATAGACTAAAGATAGAGTTCTTTAAATTATTCGGAAACATAATGGACTGTTTCTATATAGTCAAAATCACGAAAGATGACTATTACGTCATACCATAAATCGTACTGAAGTAATCAGAGACAGGAACATAATGACAACAAATTTATATTATGACTTTGCGAAGTGAGGTTATTTCACTGATTATATTTATTTTCATTTTATTGCATGGTTATGATATGATACCTTAAGACAGGAACACCAAAGACCAAAGTATTATTCGAAAACAACATAACCTGCTTCAACATATTCATCTTTCAAATATGATCGATCATGCAACATGAAATCATCATCAGTTTGTTTAGACAATAAAATTCTGTTTGTCTCTGTCTAACATATCAGAAACTTCATTAAATATATTCACAAATCGCTGTCGTTTGTGATCGCTACAGACTAAAATGATGACGTACTCGTCATTTTTCGTGATTTCTACTATATGTATTTAGTTACAATAAATACAATAGAAATAAAATACAGCATACATTGATTAACGTATTCTAACTGAAGATAGGCGTTCAAAAAATTAAATGATACGAGATGTTTCTACTCCCAGAAATAATTATACATCCACATTGAAAAGCTTCGCGTCTCATAGACGGCGCTGTATATATTCGTATAGAGCACCAAAGTAAATTATAATTATTGATGAGAGGGGAAACAGACAAATTCTTCATTTCATTTCTGATAATTTTTTGGACGCCGAAATGCAGTGTATGTTCGGCTATCTTCAGGTAGAATACGTTAATCAATAGTAACAAAAAGCTGAGAAGAAAATGAAAACTAAAAAGGACCCAACAACAAAGCATATGGAAGATGGATCCAGGTCATTTTGTCTAAAAATTGAGTATGGTACATTTTTCGTTTTAGTGAGTAAAAGTTCTCATGGGACCAAAGTAATCCTATGGTTAGACATATGGATTTGCAAAAAATGGTGACCAAATAGTTTTTATATTGCAAAACGAACTTGATTTGAACGTTTTAGGAAAGGGTGTTGTTGGGGGTGTCATGCTGATCAAGATCAATTTAGATGCAAGCTTATATTTATGCGTTCACACTGAAAACACGTGGTTGTTTGATTATGACCTTTGCAAGGTCAATTCAAGATCACGTTGATTTTTTGGAATGGAACGCATTTTTCATATCTTTTGTGCGAGGTCCTTCGATCTCCAAATTGTGTGTAAAAGTGTATGAACGAGCGTTCAGAACGTTTGAGATCAAATTTATTATGGCTGACATTTAGAGTTTTGGAAAACGTTAATTTCCATTAAAACTTATAAATTTTCCGAATAACTCAAAAATACATTGGATGTTAATGACCATATTGATATTTCTAATATACAGATATGATCATGAGCTAAATATGTAAAAATAAAAAACAAACATCTAACAATAACTTAATTTGATTATAAATGATTGAAAAATTCATGTAAAATCAACATTCTAGATACTATAAACAAATAATAAAAGTTCTAATCAACATTGTCTCTTAAAAATTACAGAGTAAAAAACAAATCACAACAAAAAGATATATGATAAAGTACGTACGTATATGTATATCAAATATCAATGGCAAAATTTTAGTGGTCTGTAAGCTCCACAAATGTAATATCAAGCAAATCCTCGTCCACCTGTTTCAGCTCCAACAGGAACAGATCTTCATTGCAATAGTAAGCCACCATGTCATCATCAATCTTGGCTATAATCCTAAAAACAACAACTTTTATCAAAACAACACAACAATTATTCAAGAAACAAGGACAAACATTCCTTGAAAGCTGAAATTTTTAAAAAATCAGATATCAAAGAAACATGCGCGAAAACTCAAAAAATTACATAAAAATAGTATGATTCATTCTTTCGTGGAAACTACTTTTCAAGAGATTAAAAACGATAACTAAAATATACGATATATTTTCTCTCGTTTGGAAGTTGTTTTATTACAAAATAGATTTCCTAACATTTCACAACCGCACCAACAGTCGAATTTAGATTTTTTTACGCCGTCAAAGTGATTTACGTATTCTTCATAAAGATGCCCAACCACACGCTGTATTTGGACGTTCACTTACAGTTTCCATCGTCGGAGTCATAAAATAATAAAAGCCCTAAGAAAATTGTTTATTCTTAAATATACTAAGTGACAGAAAGACAGAAAAAAGAAAACCAGTAAAAATTTGGAATACATGTCTGATCAATACTTCAGAAAAACTAACCGTTGAAAAAATTAAAAAAATACAATAATTATTTGACATCAAGATTCCAAGGGAAGATTTCGTATTTTTATGTTGACACCTAAAGACGGTGGTCCGCGCAGGGACGGTTTGCAAGTGGTTTGGGTATCTTCAGGTAGAATATGTTAATCAATGGTAAAAGTGTGAATCTGAACATAAAACTGGTTATTTTGCAAAGCCGTGTCCCAATTTTTCATTATCAAACTGTGGAGATGAAACCAGACCTCCATCATTTTGATACCAAAGCAAGAGTTGATGTACCCACACCCACAAAAACTTTAGTCACACATTTGAATGAAAACCAAGTCATTTTAAGGAGGTGTTATCTTTAAATCAGCTGGAAAATATTCATTTTATTCCGATCAAAATCTCCCACAGCCACAAAAACAATATAAAAGAGAAATGAAATATAATATTGATGGATTTTGATCAGAATGAACCGAAGAACATTTTTCAGTATATTTCAAGAACTCCAGTTATGCGGTGTCCCTTTACTCAATAGTAATTTGCCCCCAATTTGTTTCAAGCTTTGCATGTTTTTTTCTTAGTGACGTCAGTATATTAGTATAGAATGCGAACTGTTAGTGATTTTTAAACCAGTTAAGTGTACAGTTCACTCTTCACGACTATTCAACACTATGGTACAACTTACCCTTTTTTGTTTTTGCGATATAAGTTATTAATGCTTGAAGTGCTAATTTTGTACTTATTCTCAATCTGCAAAATAAGGAAAACAGAATTAATTTTCCGAATGATACGTAGGCGCTAACAAATGTTCTGTCTTTCTTAATTTTAGCATAGATTTCGAAGAAGTACTGAGCTTTTAGTAGAAAATAAAAATGAAGAGGAAAGAGAAAGTAAAAAGTGAACTGATCCCTCGGCGTGGGATGATATGTTAATAGGACATGCCCTTTAGTTCCACAGCCATTACATGCGAATGGAAAATAATCTACATTTGTATGTCCCCTCCCCTTTAATTTTTGAACGGACCGATTCAAACAATTAAAACTTGAGGCAATGAAATTGATGCATGGATACCATATTTTAGAGTAAAAAGAGGAAAAAAAATATATGAATACGGGGGTCTTGTGGCACATCATTTTGAAGCTCCTGACGAGTACTTTATAACCCTAGAATATAAAGTCAATACCTTTACCTACTACAAAATGGTGGTACATTTAATAATCACTTGAATACATTGATAATTCGAATAAATACGTTAAGTTAAGTTAAAAATAGTTCAAACAGTATCTAGCACCAAAACCGAAAACTAAATAAGAATATATTAACTGTACAATGATGTTTGTTTTCGAACTGATATTTTTGCCACTGTCAACAAAAAGTAACAAAACAAGTTTTTATCGCTGTTGCTGTGGCAGGGAATTACAATTATTTGTAGAGATATGCATGTAGTGGGTTTTTGTTCAAGTAATTATCAAATGTACCACCATTTCGTAGTAGGTAAAGGTATTGACTTCATATTCTAGGGTTATAAAGTACTCGTCAGGAGCTTCAAAATGATGCGCTACAAGACCCGCGTTTTGCCAGCGGCCATCTTGACATTTTCATCTGTCAATTTTACTCTAAAATATGGTATCCATCGATGTCATCACTTCAAGTGTTAATTTTTGAATCGATCCGTTCAAAAAATAAAAGGGGAGGGGATATTAAAGAAAAGCACCGTATAGTGCTGGCCAAAGTCGTTTTCCCTTTTAGAGTTCCATGTGAGCGAGAGCGTGGGGGCAGCAAATTAGAAAGAGTGCGTTACATAAGCGTCCTCACCCTGTTGCCTAGCAACAGTTTGGGGAGGAGTGGTTACCAGGCAACGTGATGACGACGCTAATAAGGTGCACTCTTTCTGACACACTTTTCTCTATCTCTCTCGTACACGGAAATCTAAAAGGGAGAACGGCTTTGGCCAGCAATCTACAGTTCAAGAGTCCACGCTCCATACGGGTAACAGGTCATTTTAGAGTTGATCCATAGCATATTAAGTGCGGTAACCCTTTTTGGAATTGTCAAAAATACAATAATTGGAGCTTACAGGTTAATACGACTGTTACTTGGCTAGTGCATGGACTCTAGGATTACAGTGAGAAAAATCGCGAGTAGGAGTTATTCGCTGATAGAAGCTTAAAAATCATGTGTTTACGTTGCAAAGGCAGTAACATACACTGTTTGAGATACAGTGTTGCCGTTTGTGATTGTTTTAACAGTTTCTTTGCGATGTTTCTATCAGTTTCTCTGTCTATAATTTAGCTTTGCTTTTAAATCTAATTTAATTTAATCATCCATGGTATTTATCGCTCGTGTGGATATATAAATATATGACCTTAGTGAAATTATGCCATCATCAAGAATGAGTTGCATAAATGTGAATGTGTAACGACTGGTTACAAATAACCCATTTCCATTAGCGAAACAAATAAATGATAGAAAAAGGCGCCTTTTGAACTCAAAACAGCACTAACTTTGTAGAATAAAAATACTTTGGGCCATTTGTGACTGACTAACACATTATTCAGCCTTATTTTTCCTACCACCTTCATACAATACCAAGTGACAACTCGAATAAAAGCGATTGCAACGATGGAAAAATATTCTATATTTTATACTAATCCTATTAACATGATTAGAACACATGTAATGGCCATGTTCGGTTGAAAATGTATAAGGAAAAAGCCCAGTACATCAATCTCCATGCGTAAGTATGGGCCTTCCAACAATGTTTCATTAGAATTCAGTTTCCAAATACCCTGGCAAAAGGCCCAACAATTGAAAATACATATAGTCCTTTCACTGAAACAAACCAGTCACGTCATATTTGGTCAATTTGAATGCCAACCTTAATGCAAAATAGATCCTAAATTGGTATGTATTGTTGTTTATTTGCGTTCTTTTTGCCTCAATATTATTTTATAAAAAGTTTTTTCTAAACTTTGAGGTGTCCTTTCAAGCATCGAAAGTAAGGCATCTAAGACATAAAGTAGATTTTGTAAAACGTCCTAGGATCTTGTAGTTTTAGTTGATGTGGCAACCATGTGCGACACTGTCATTATTTGACGTTGTGACGTAACTGCTTTTACTTTAACTACACACAGGGTGACTTCGAAGTTGAGTCATTTATTTTAACAGTGAGTAGATCTGATCAATAGAAATGTTTTTTCCTTTACCATTTTTCTGGTAAAATTAAAGTAACAAAGTTATAGCCCTTTGGAAGTTTGAGTACCGCCCTGTCTCAATAATAATATTATGTGCTCGTGTTAGGCGACAACGGATATAATCCGCCTTATCGGTTCATCGCATCGGAAACAAAAAAGCGAAAGAATTTGGAACGACGTTTTTACAATTATTTTATTCAGTTGTATACAGTCAGTGTCAGTCGGTAACGCGTGAGTGAATAGTGGTGTCTGTTGCGTGGCTCAAACGAAATCAAAAATGGCACATGTTTACGAAAATGCTGAACTTGTGGACATGATTCTTATTTACGGGGGGGGGGGAGTCGGTTTCCCAATCGAGTGCAACCAACCCCTCGTGCCTTTGTTAATGTTACAAAGGGCTCGTGAATCAGGTGACTTAAGACCTCACAGGGGAGGGCATGCTGGTGCTCCAAGACCGCACGATCAAATACAGGTCCGCACTGAAATACTTGTCGGGAGGATACTTTATAAAACAAGGTAACATTTTTTTTTCATTTTTTTTTCATTTTTTTTTTATTTTTACGCACATATTTTGGTTTATCTTCCTTCTACAATCATTATCTGAAAATTAATGACTCAACTTCAAAGTCACCCTGTATATCCAGTGATTATTTGGTATGCCACTGTTGACGCGGTATAACTAATAGGGATGGAGATCTGAAATCGATTTTTCAGGTCAAAAAAATCGATATTTTAAATCGATTCATAGTGCTGAATCGACTCGTCACCCTAGAAAATCCACGTTCGTTTTCTTGTTATAATAAAAATCATAAAATTATAGTTTTAAATCGAGCGATATGTCAGAATTGGCACATCACTACTAGTATTCGTCACTCTGCAATTCTGCTGGTTTTACGTTTTATGGTCACCTCCCACTTATCGTTCTGTGTCAAGTCGCTGTCAAAAAATGACGTCTAACACCGTGACCGATTTATCATTCATAATTTCATAACCTAAAAGTAATGGGTAATGTCTAAACCCTATATCACGCTTTTTTGACGTCTACTGAGCTAAACAGATGATCAGCAAGTGACATTTTAGTGTTAGTCTGCGACGTTGGCAATAATTGGTGTAATATATTGGTATTGTAGATGCAAAATTGAAAAAAAATCGATTTTTTGGAGATCAAACTTTTAAATAGCGATTTTTTTGTCGATCGATTCATTTGATTCCGATTCGAATTGATTCAAAAATCGATCTTTTTTTGGAAGAATCGCCATCCCTGCTATGAATGAACAAACAAAACCTAAAATACAGCAGCCGAAGACGCGTCTACGCAGTGTTGCCGAATTTTCAATAAATAATGGAAACTGCTATATTATTGTTGCATATTTCCTACATTCATTTTTCAAAATTCGTTGTAAACTATCAGAAAATGTTTGACTTGACACGCAATAAAACGGAACGTTATAATTTTGGATGCCCTTTTTGATAGCTTTGCATAAATATTTTTCAACGTGGAACCTAAACATTGATGAATGAAAAATATATTTGGTTGAAATGGATGATAAATATCCAGGTTTAAACAAAATTATATTGCTTTGATTAAAAAGTAATTATCTGTCTGCCACAGTGGCGTACGAATATACAATGAGTATTCGGAGTCAACCTGTCATGTCAATGTGTAAAAAATAAGAAACGTGTTGGAAGCCCATAAAGCAGCATTAAAGCCTAAGCATAATGTTATAGATAGCTGCGGTACTCACTGCGTTAAGAAGGCCCATCGTTGTTGGTGGTACCACGTGCAGAGGGGTGTATACGTCATCGTTCTCTTGGCGGACGTAAAGCATCACCCTTTCGTTCAACGGAGGTGGGCCGACGCTCCCAGGACCGCCACCTTCAAATCCAATTAAAAAACAATTTAAATTTTTAAACAAAATAATTTTTTAATACAGATTACATCATCAATTAAAGATTACTTTAGCGTTTAAGCTGCGTTTTCTAGTAGGAATGGCCTTACCTAGATGACACCTTAGTTGTAAGTGTATATTTAATATTACTTAAATGCAAGACGGGTGCATCGGTTTAGGTATGACGGATATGAAATGCGTTTAGCGGCCTGCAACATCGTCGAAGCTTTTGCTTGTCCTGAAACGTTTCTACCACGTTGTTAAGATTTTATTTTGATGTCATTATTGTCATTATTTTTACATGACATTTTCCTAGGTTCATGAATACAGAACTTTGTCACTGGTGAGGGACCTGCCAAGAGAAAGAAGGAAGGATTTGACGCCTCACCTGTCAACTTGGGACGTTTCATAGGTGGCGAAAAAACGCTGCCGTCAGAGGACAAACTTCCTTCCAACAGGCTTCCATCCTTCTTGTCTGCATCAGGCGGAAAATGGTTGTGGAATTTGAGCGTCGGTGTCGTTGGTGGTTTTGAAGCGGTATGGAGAAGGAAGGGCGAACCAGTCTTCACATGCTCTACTGGCCCACCGAGAGATCCGTCTTCGTGAGAGTAGAAACCTTGCAGTTCCATCGAAGTTAACTGAAATTGACATTAATAACTTGACCGTGCAACAAATTCACATTCACAGACGAGGTACAAAGAGAACACTATATGTTTGTCGTGAACTATATTTACCTTATCGATATCCTCCGCTGGGGAGAACAGAACCGGCGGTTTCGATAAATCCGACATTGAGTAGAACTCTGACCGTTCGCACATGGGGTGGTACAATTCGTCCAATTTCTTGCGTCCAGTGGCAGTCATTTTCCGTTTGGCCGCGCGTCTTTCTTCATCCCGCGTTTTTCGTTCAGCGCCCTGCAAACGAAGCGGTCGAACATTACTATCAACCCAAAATGCTTGTCCACTTTTCCAAAGAATAAAGCATATTGCCTACTAACCAATATGTTTTTCCCTTTTAGATTTCCATGTGTACGAGAGAGAGAGGGTGAGAGAGGGGGAGGGGGAGAGGGAAAGGGAGGGGGAGAAGGAGAGGGAGAGTGACAGGCAGAGGGAGAGGTAGAGTGAAAGGAAAGGGGAGTTGGAGAGTGAGACGCAGAGGGAGAGGAAGAGGGAGAAGGGTAGGGAGAGACAGAGAGAGAGAGGGGTGGAGGCAGAGGGAGGTGTAGAGGGAAAGAAAGGGGGAGCGATAGGGGGAGAGTGAGAGGAGAGGAGAGGGTGAGGGAGAGGGTGAGGGAGAGGGAGAGTGACAGGCAGAGGAGTGGGTGGGGAGAGGGAGAGTGACAGACAGATGTAGAGGTAGAGGGAAAGGTAGCGGGAGAAGAGAAGAGGCAGAGAGGGAGAGTGACGGGCAGAGGGAGAGGGAGGGGTAGAGGGAAAAGGGAGGGGTAGAGGGAGAGGCAGTGGGAGAGGGAGAGTGACAGGCAAGGGAGAGGTAGAGGGAAAGGAAAGGGAGGGGAGAGTGAGACGCAGAGGAGGGGAGAGGAAAAGGTAGGGGGAGAAGGAGAGGGAGAAGCAGAGAGAGAGAGAGAGGCAAAGGGAGGGCAGAGGGAGATGTAGAGGGAAAGGAAGGGGGAGGGATAGGGGGAGAGTGAGAAGCAGAGGGAGAGGGTGAGGAGAGGGGAGAGTGACAGGCAGAGGTAGAGGTAGAGTGAAATGGAGGGGGAGAAAGAGAGGGAGAGGTAGAGGGAAAGGTAGGAGGGAAAGGAGAGGTAGAGGCAGATGGAGAGGAGAGGGAGAGGCAGAGGAGATTGAGAGGCAAAGGGAGAGGCAGAGGAATGGAGGGATGAGGGAAAGGGAGGGGGAGAGTGGGAGTGAGAGGCAGAGGGAGAGTGAGAGGCAGAGGGAAAGGGAGAGTGAGCGGTAGAGGGAGAAGGAGATTGAGAGGGAGAGAGAAAAGGGAGGGAGAGAGAGAGGGAGATGCAGAGGGACAGGCAGGGGAGAGGGAGAGGAGATTGAGAGGAGAACAACTCTTCCTCACTGTCGTTGCCAGGCAACATGGTGATGCCGCTTATACGGCCTCTATAGTACACATCGTAATCTAAAAGGGAAAACGACTCTGGCTAGGGCAACAGATGAAATTCTCACCTTATCACAGAACACTTTTATTTGGCAATAGCCCCTGTGATACACAGTCGTATCCCTGGGGTCTTCGTACGTATCTATTTGTAAATGTAAAGGGAGACCTTTCACACCTTTTTGGCTGCTAAAGTCAGTGCTCAAGCACTGAACTGCTATATTAATCTGAAAAGAAAACAATGTGGATTATAACGGTGATGTTCAAGGCAAGGAAATAATTTTCAAGCTTCGGCAAACTATTTACGAAAACTTACTTTGGCAGGACTATCCATAGGATTCCAGTATATCGCTATGGCATTGTGAGCAACTTCTTCTATACAACCTACTAAACCTACGCTATTCTTTGTATCTGTAAAGGAAAATGATAAATCTGAGCAAATGCATCAACTTATTACTTTAATCGTATTACTGATGTCAATAAAAAAATAATGTTTATTAACTTATCCGATCCGTTACATTTTAGCTGGAGTTTGCATTTGAGAGCACATTAAATGCAATGTATCAAGTATTTATACTCAGAATCCAATTCACGTTTATAATATACCTCTTCAGTAGAACTTACCTAGCCTATTCTGACTGCATGAAAAAATAATTATAGTTCAATATATGCTTAACCAAAATAGAATATTGCTGGTTTTGAAAGCTGCGTCAATACTCAGAGATAGATCAACCCCGCTGGATAACATATTTACGACCTATTGACATATATGTTTTTTTTCTATACAAAAAACGAAGCTGTTTGTTACGCAATATTTTTGATAATATAAAGTTGGTAGAAAAATTAATGTAATAATTACCTGCATCCAATATCCGCTGTTTCACAGAGTGTTGTCGACCATGCCAGAATTGCCACGCTTTTATTTCATCTTCTGGATTCTTTTCTTCTCTAAACATTAACATGACGATACTCTGGAATGAAAAACACCATCGATATTTCGCCAAGTGCGATTGCTAAACATTTCGAGACAATGACAACAAGAAAAACGATAAGTACGACAAGCAACGAACGAATTTGTCTCAATAGAGAACAAAAAAGGATGTAGATCTTAAAAATCCGGACGTTGTGGACATACGTTCATATGCGATGAAGCCCAGAACCGCTCCCTGGAATATTTCACAAGCAAAACTACCCACGGTTTACTTTTACGATTTTTGAGACAGGACGAAAACAGTGACTTGTTAGGACGTCTTAAAATTTCAAAAAAAATTCGATTTTAAATGCTCAATGAGTTAAAAATAAGGTAATTTGGCGATCAAAGCATATCTTCCACAATTATGATGACCCAACCAAAAACACGATTTTCCATTTTGCCTGCAATTTTTTAACGTTCGGCGTAGAAACGTGGATCACCCTGTATACACATTAAACAACATTTTATCCATAACGAATTCGCTTAAACTTTTTTGTTTTTGGACGTTTTAAAGACTTATTTAAGAAATCTGGCGATCAAAGTTTATCTTCCATAATTATTATGTAATTATAATTTTGCGTGAATTTTTTGACGTTCACCGTAGAAAGGTTCACATTGTTCTTTTGATCACCCTGTATACACGTTAAACAACGTTTTATCAGTAGCGACTTCGGTGAAACTGTTTTATTTTTTGACTTCTGTTCATGGACATTTTTTGGGAAGGTTTAAAATATAGGATTGGGGAATTTTAGAACTTATATTTAGTCTCATAGAAATCCGTTCCAAGAAAGTTTATTCAGTATCTCATACGCAAATGCTTTCGTTGATTTTCTTAAATAAACTGAATTGAAGAGAGAATTGAGTGGGAAATACAGAGTCAGTCTACTTGACCTACTGGCGGAGAAAGTGTTGTGTGTTCCGTCAGTCTGTCTGTCCGCTAATCCTTGGCCCGCCTTCAACCTCGATCCGATAATAAAATTTCCGAGATATCTTCGTTTTGTTTAAAAAGAAAATTGTCAATTCCTTAATGGAAAGCGTTTACACCCTGTATAGTCCATCTACTTGACGTCATTTTTTTTTCAGGTCAGCCCTCCCTAACTCCGCTCATGTCGCCAAGTAACATTTCTGATAAGCAACGCTTAATTACGCACCAATTGTAAATTGTTTTATTAGAATTGCCACATTTGTCTTGAGATATTATAAGAATAATCATGAGTGCATGTCCATAAGTGGCGACGAATGTCGCAGCGCTAGTTTTTTCATTCCGGCAGTCTCATCCGGTAATTGCTCTTTACGTAGGTAGAATGTATAATATTACTAGGGGCGTTTTTTGATCCGCACTTTTGCCTTGCAGACGGGTTTTTGCCCATCGATGATGCTTTTGACTTGTACGCTTCTTCGTTTTGCTGTTTTAACTCGACAAATCCACTGCTCTCTTGCAATGGGGAATCAGCTTAAGCTCGCATTCAAAAATATCATTTATATATTTCCACCAAAATCAGGACTTTGCACGGAGATTCATCTCGAAATTTTTCCAAAAACGCAAGTCTTTTTTTAAAATAGTGCATAATGACGTGCGACGAATACCCAGCTCTTGAGGACGATGTCAGGTAGACGTTTCAGGGCGCTCCACTACACCTCCACGAACTATCTGGATATTTTCAGAGTACGAACAGTTCGGACACGGCCCGACCTTGGCAAGTCTTTAATTTCAAATGTTTGTTCAGGTAAAAGTGAAAATTTCAATGTTGCCAATGTTCCCAAATTTTCTTCAAATATCCATTAACAAAATCCCAAAGCACCCGACGACGATGGACCGCTTAACCACGCTGTCACTATTGAAGAACTCGAGGAAGCACTAACTACATCAACAAGTTCATGTCCAGGACCTGATGACATCCCATACATTTTCTTAAGAAATCTGCCATCCAATGCTAAACACATGCTAAAAGATATATACAACTTCATTCTTAGATCCAGACAATTTCCAAGCATATGGAGTGAAGCGATTGTAATTCCACTTCTGAAACCAAACAAGCCTCAAGATATACCCAATTCTTACCGGCCCATATCGCTTACCTGTACTATGTGTAAGCTGCTTGAGAAAATCCTCAATAAACGGTTAGTATGGTTTCTAGAAAAACAAATGTTATTGAGCAATAATCAGAATGGTTTTCGTAGCAACAGATCTACCATTGACAACATTGTTGTTCTTGAATCGACCATAAAAGCAGCCTTTGATAATAACCAAAAAGTACTTGCAGTATTCTTCGATATACATAAGGCATTTGATATGACCTGGAAACATCTAATTCTGAAAACTATGCTGAATATGGGTATCTGTGGTGACATACTAGCATTCACCAAGAACTTTTTAAATAACAGAACTATAAAAGTTAGAACAAACGGTTTCACATCCAATACTAAGAGCGTAGAAAATGGTACACCTCAAGGATCTGTGCTAAGTACTACACTATTTCTGATAGCCATAGATGGCATAACCAAACTTTTTAAACTGCCTATAAGATATCTCTTATATGCCGACGACCTGATTATATACCTAACCACTAATAACATATACACCGGCAAAGCAATCATTCAAGAAACACTTAATAAAATAGAACACTGGACCATGGAATCAGGATTCCAATTCTCATCTGACAAGACCAAGTTTATAATCTTCAGCAAATCCAAACTTCAAACTACCAACACAGACCTTACATTTAATAATAACGAAATCAAAATGACAGACAACATCAAGTATTTGGGGATGATATTTGATTCTACTTTAAAATGGAATCTCCATATCAGACATATAATATCTGTATGTCAGAGAAGATTAAACCTCATGAAAGTACTAGCTAATAAATCATGGGGAAGCGACACCATATCTTTGCTAAAACTATACCAAGTCACCATAAGGAGTAAGATAGATTACGGTAGCATTTGCTATGGAACTGCAAGCCAATTTGTATTAAAAAAACTTGATGTGCTCCAAAACACAGCAATTAGACTCGCAATGGGACTTCTTAAAACAAGCCCTATTGACAGCATATACGTTTTGGCTAACGAACCGCCTCTAAGCCTCCGAAGACAATATCTAACTCTGTGCTACGCGGCGCGAACAGCAAGCACACCAAATAATCCAGCTTTCAACGTCATATTTACCCGAGAGGATACTCATTCTTCCCACAACACCAAACATTTCACAATGGCAGAAAGAATCAAAGAGACTAACTTCAATACAGATCTCTTTCGCAGTATTATCCCTTGTTCATCAAACTCTCCACCCTGGACAGTACCACTACCAGATTTCGACACAACCCTCAAGATATATCAAAAAATGCAAACCAACCATAGAGAAATATATAACAGATACCAAGTCATCATCGAGTCTCATCCGAACTTCAAACTGATTTTTACAGATGCCTCAAAGTCATCACATGGGGTTGGCTATGCCGCAGTCTCTGACAATCAACGAATATCCTCTTCACTACCACAACATTGCAGCGTCTATACTGGAGAGCTGACAGCCATCAAGGGAGCGCTCAATCTGGCACGAACAACAACAGATGCCAACTTCTTAGTAGTGACGGATTCGCTGAGTGCACTGGAAGGTATCAAACAGTTGTACCCTCGCAACTGCATACTCAGGGGAATTAAGGACATGCTGCGTCTGCTGTACAACGACAAAAAGAGGATAAAGTTTCTGTGGGTACCCTCACATACTGGAATCCCAGGCAACGAAGAGGCTGACAAAGAAGCATCAAGAGCGGCAGTCCCTTCAAGCAGAAGTGTGATTCGTACACCCTACCAAGATTTGAAAGGACTAATAAAAGTGCACATAACCAGTCTTTGGCAACAGAAATGGAATGGCAGTCACAGCAAACTACTCGCAATTGCTCCAGATGTCAACACGCGATTCACCCTACCTTCAGGAAGAAGGAACCAGATAATTATGTCACGACTCCGGATAGGCCACACACTAGTGACTCACAAGCACATCTTCGAAGGAACCGATGCCCCAGTTTGTTCAACGTGCAACCAGCGGCTTACGGTGGTTCACATCCTGATGGAGTGCCCTACTTATCAAAATGCCAAAAGTCTCAACCACCTTTCTAATGACATCAGTGAAGTGTTACTGCATCAACCGATAAACTTGTGAAATTTATCAAAGACATTGACATGTACTTCAATACATAGATTATTGTGCCGTCCACGCCGCTAATAACCCTACGAGGTTGATGCGGTACTATCTGTTAAATAAAAAAAAAAAAAAAAAAAAAATCCCAAAGCATCTCAGGAGGTTTTTATCAGACGCGAAGATACTAGCCGGTTGTACTTAAATTATAAAAATACACATTGAGCTACCAAACATACATGGTGATTAAAAAAAAATGTGGCAATATCCGAAAAAAAATATGTACGTATATGATCGATTTTTGTGTATGAATTTTTTTGGATTCGAGAAATTTTTCGCTACGCCTCTGTACCCAGTGATAGTTAACGCTAATGACAATCCGACTGGAAGAAAATCTATCGATGTTCCTTTTGCAGCTCTTCAGCTAACAACGATTTTAATAAATAACAATTAGATGGAATAATGAACACGTATCCCAACATGTTTATGATTATTTCTTATTCGGAATATACGATGAGACGTTTCAGATTTTAGTTTTTAATTGCGATGCTGGGCGTGTTTGCTTTTCGAAAAAAAAAAATATCATTCTAGTTAATTGACTGCACTCCCATCATATTAAACCCCACATGGTGACTCTTGATGAGCGTTTCCTTCGTTTCAAAACAAGTTAAAATCTCTGTTTACTTCCTAAAGGGAATCAACAAAAACATTAGGCCAAAAAAATATTTTACAAGAGAACCTATATCGTAATTGTAGATATATTGCGTTGACCAAAAATAGACGGAGATATTTTAAAAGGTGATTCCTTGTTAAAAAAGATGAAAATTTTTTTTTATAAACAAGGGTCCGGAAATGCAGAGTTTTATACAGGGTGATACATTTAATTTTTTTTAATATCTTAAAAAAGATTTACTCGATTCTGTTGAAATTTGGCACTATTATTTGTTGTATTAAGAGGATAATTTAGCTCGTGGTACAATAAAATTATCAGGTCCAGTGACATCCCGGGGGGCACCTTGGCGAATATTATTGGCAAAAAAATGTACGCCACTGCATTTTTTGTGATTTTAACATTTGTTGTTTGATTAAGCATCTAAGATTATAACTTCTTTGATGCTTGCATTTTTTCGTATCTCACTTCGTTTTCGAGAAAAAAAATTAAAACCGTTTTAATGTATGTCACTGGACAAAATTGGTTTGTTAATTTTTGCACAAAAAATCATTCCTGCATGGCGCGTCAGTTCTTCTAGAAAAGAATTATTCGCGTAATTTTATTTGCGAAATTTCTCTGAAAAGTTTTTTTTTAAATTTATCACCCTGTATATCACCCTTCTGCATTTCCGAACCCATGTTAATCGGAACTTTTTTCATATTCCTCAACAAGCAATCACTCTTTAAAATATCTCCGCTTGTTTTATAAAAACATGAAAAATGTGAATCGCGTCAAGTAGGTTGACTCGATGTCGATACACACATTACAAATATCTCGAAAACTATTAGCTTTAGACACGTCTAACAAGTAAACCTTTTCTGTTGTGGAAATACGAGAAAATAATATTTTTTGGTCAGATGTTGTATACAGGGTAGCGCAAAAAAAATGTTGCTGTAAATGGTGTCCTCTAGAAGTTTGAGCGTCGTCCTCCAAGCAAAACAGGTTCCTATAAATATTTATGCAAAACAATACAAATTTGAGTACTCACCTTAACGGTTTGGGACTTGAGCTGCTTGTCAGGGTCATGGATATACTCCAACGTGATGCCATAGAATTGGCCTTTGTTGATGTACGTTATTCTATCATCTTCTCTCCTTTGTGATGTTGATATTGGGGTTTCTAGGTGATATTTGAATCCGACGGGTGAGAATCTGCGACAAAATCAAAGCTAACATTCAACAACAAAATCAATAGAAAATGGATACCCAAATTGAATCAAATAGTTTGACTCTATAGTCACACCTATCATGTTTTTTTACAATACGTTCACAATTCTGATTCCGGCCTCAGAATCGGTTCCTCCGAAATCGAATATCAAAGCGCGAAAGGTGTTTGTTTTAACTCTGTCTCTGTTTAAAAATATATTTTGTGAAATACTTCCTCATTAAAATATAATATTGGAAAAATTATATGGCAACTAAACGTGAATTCGTCTATACTTCAAACTTCTTTACTCCATACCAAATTATCATTTAGGTCGTTTCTCATTTGAATCCACTGCAATCAAAAGCATTAATGCGACCACAGGAATTGGAATCGAAACCACCGGAATCAAAATCATTGAAATCAAAACCGTCCGAATCGGAATTATCGGAATCGATCCAACTCGGATGGAACCGAAACCAGCGGCATCAAAATCGTCGGGATCAAAACCACTGGAATCGGAATCGCAACCACCGAAATCAAGATCGCAAACACTGAAATCGGAATCGAAACCACCGGAATCGGAATGGAAACCACCGGAATCGGAATCGAAACCACCGGAATCGTAATCATTGAAATCAAAACCGTCAGAATCGAAATCGGAATTATCGGAATCGATCCAACCCGGTTGGAACCGAAACCAGCGGCATCAAAATCGTCGGGATCAAAACCACTGGAATCGGAATCGCAACCACCAAAATCGGGATCGTAAACACTGAATTCGGTATCGAAACCACCGGAATCGGAATCGTAACCACCGGAATCGGAATCGAAACCACCGGAATCGGAATCGAAACCCCCGGAATCGGAATCGCATCCACAGAAATCGGGATCGAAACCACCGGAATCGGAATCAAATCCACCGGAATCGAAATCATCGAAATCGAAACGTCAGAATCGGAATCGAAAAAATCGGATTCGATCCGACCCGGCCGGAACCGAAACCAGCGGCATCAAAATCGTCGGGATCAAAACCACTGGAATCGGAATCGCAACCACCAAAATCGAGATCGTAAACACTGAATTCGGAATCGAAACCACCGGAATCGGAATCGAAACCCCCCGGAATAGGAATCGCATCCACAGAAATCGGAATCGAAACCACCGGAATCGGAATCAAATCCACCGGAATCGAAAACCATCGAAATCGAAACCGTCAGAATCGGAATCGAAAAAATCGGATTCGATCCGACCCGGCTGGAATCGGAACCAGCGGCATCAAAATCGTCGGAATCGAAACCACTGGAATCGGTATCGCAACCACAGGAATCGGAATCGAATTCGCCGGAATCGGAAACCGTCAGAATCGGAATCGAAATTATCGGATTCGATCCGACCCGTCTGGAATCAAAACCAGCGGCATCAAAATCGTCGGAATCTAAACCACTGGAATCGGATTCTCCGGAATCGGAATCGATTCCACCGTTAACCTACACACCGCGCGGCGTCTGATTTGGATATTGACTCAAATAGTTATAGCACCACAAAACATCGTACCCTTTGAAGTAAGAGGGAAAAGAAGCATGGTCAGAATGGTTTTTTTTAGGAACTTAATATCTCGGTTATCTTAAGTATACGTGTTATTAGGAAAACCTGCTTATCATTGCCTGGCATATATCTCTATGTCAGTTCTTTGATTTTCCACAATAAACAGCACTGCTTTAGCATGCTAAGATTCCGCTGTTCTATATTATTTGAAACTGTGTAACTCATGCATGTCCAAGCAAGTAGCTGTAATATAATCATAAAGCCTGTTTAACAGCTTCACACCGCATGTGTATGTAGTAGACAACAAACAACTTTTTCCAGTCCATTTGTTTTCCGCTGCTACCTTTTAAATTTTATTATCACCAGCCGGTTCATAAGGTCAGGTTCAAACTACCTGTTATATTCATTCTTACCTGCCGTTGTGAAACAACCCTGTTTGCTTCGTCGCACATTCGTACGGGATTTCTTGAAAAACCTGAAATGCTAAAGTGAACAGCACATCGTTTGCCGTTTAGACAGAGACAGCGTTAAAACAAACACCTTTCGCGCTCTGATATATCATTTCTATTATGTGGTATTAGTTGCGGTTTCAAAAAAGAGATCTTGTTTTTGGTCGTTAACAGACTACTAAGAGGTGCTAAGTCGGCCCTGAACGAATCGTTCTGAAGGAACGATACTGCATTAGACACTGAAGGACCGATTCCGATGGTTTCGAATGAATCGATTCCAATAATTTCGATTCCGATTCTGACGGTTTCGATTTCGATGATTTCAATTCCGATTCCGGTGGATTCGATTCCGATTACGGTGGATTCGATTCCGATTCCGGTGGATTCGAGTCCGACGATTTTGATGCCGCTGGTTTCGATTCCAGCCGAGTCGGATCGAATCCGATAATTTCGATTCCGATTCTGACGGTTTTGATTTCGACGATTTGATGCCGCTGGTTTCGATTGCAGCCGGATCGGATCGAATCCGATAATTTCGATTCCGATTCTGGCGATTTCGATGATTTCAATTCCGATTCCGGTGGATTCGATTCGGATTCCGGTGGTTTCGATTCGGATTCCGGTGGTTTCGATTCCGATTCCGGTGGTTTCCATTCCGATTCCGGTGGATTCGATCCCAATTCCTGTGGTTGCGGTTCCGATTCCAGTAGTTTCGATTTCGACGATTTTGATGCCGCTGGTTTCGATTCCAGCCGGGTCGGATCGAATCCGATAATTTCGATTCCGATTCTGGCGATTTCGATTTCGATTATTTCATTCCGATTCCGGTGGTTTCGATTTCGATTCCGGTGGTTTCGATTCCGATTCCTGTGGTTGCGATTCCGATTCCAGTGGTTTCGATTCCGACGATTTTGATGCCGCTGGTTTCGATTCCAGCCGGGTCGGATCGAATCCGATAATTTCGATTCCGATTCTGGCGATTTCGATTATTTCATTCCGATTCCGGTGGTTTCGATTTCGATTCCGGTGGTTTCGATTCCGATTCCTGTGGTTGCGATTCCGATTCCAGTGGTTTCGATTCCGACGATTTTGATGCCGCTGGTTTCGATCCCAGCTGGGTCGGATCGAATCCGATAATTTCGATTCCGATTCTGGCGGTTTCGATTTCGATGATTTCATTCCGATTCCGGTGGTTTCGATTCCGATTCCGGTGGTTTCCATTCCGATTCCGGTGGTTTCCATTCCGATTCCGGTGGATTCGATTCCGATTCCTGTGGTTCCGATTCCGATTCCAGTGGTTTCGATGCCGACGATTTTGATGCCGCTGGTTTCGATTTCAGTCGGGTCGGATCGAATCCGATAATTTCGATTCCGATTCTGGCGATTTCGATTTCGATTATTTCATTCCGATTCCGGTGGTTTCGATTTCGATTCCGGTGGTTTCGATTCCGATTCCGGAGGATTCGATTCCGATTCCTGTGGTTGCGATTCCGATTCCAGTAGTTTCGATTCCGACGATTTTGATGCCGCTGGTTTCGATCCCAGCCGGGTCGGATCGAATCCGATAATTTCGATTCCGATTCTGGCGGTTTCGATTTCGATGATTTCATTCCGATTCCGGTGGTTTCGATTCCGATTCCGGTGGTTTCCATTCCGATTCCGGTGGTTTCCATTCCGATTCCGGTGGATTCGATTCCGATTCCGGAGGATTCGATTCCGATTCCTGTGGTTGCGATTCCGATTCCAGTAGTTTCGATTCCGACGATTTTGATGCCGCTGGTTTCGATTTCAGTCGGGTCGGATCGAATCCCATAATTTCGATTCCGATTCTGGCGATTTCGATTTCGATTATTTCATTCCGATTCCGGTGGTTTCCATTGCGATTCCGGTGGATTCGATTCCGATTCCGGAGGATTCGATTCCGATTCCTGTGGTTGCGATTCCGAATCCAGTAGTTTCGATTCCGACGATTTTGATGCCGCTGGTTTCGATCCCAGCCGGGTCGGATCGAATCCGATAATTTCGATTCCGATTCTGGCGGTTTCGATTTCGATGATTTCATTCCGATTCCGGTGGTTTCGATTCCGATTCCGGTGGTTTCCATTCCGATTCCGGTGGTTTCCATTCCGATTCCGGTGGATTCGATCCCGATTCCTGTGGTTCCGATTCCGATTTCAGTGGTTTCGATGCCGACGATTTTGATGCCGCTGGTTTCGATTCCAGCCGGGTCGGATCGAATCCGATTTTTTCGATTCCGATTCTGACGTTTCGATTTCGATGATTTCGATTCCGGTGGATTTGATTCCGATTCCGGTGGTTACGATTCCGATTTCTGTGGATGCGATTCCGGTGGTTTCGATTCCGATTTCTGTGGTTTCGATTCCGATTCCAGTGGTTTCGATTTCGACGATTTTGATGCCGCTGGGTTCGGTTCTAAGCGGATCGGATTGGATTTAGACAAAAGAAGTTATACTGCTCGAATTTGAATATTGCTGCTACCGCTTTAAAAATAGTCGCGTTGACGCTTTTTCTAGTATAGGCAATTATTGAATTCACGTTTAGTTATTACTACTTTTTAGACAGAGACAGCGTTAAAACAAACACCTTCCGCGCTTTGATATTCGATATCGAAGGAACTGATTCTGAGGCCAGAATCAGAATTGTGGACGTATTGTAAAAACTACCACTACGTCATGATCTTGAAAAAAATTCTATACATAATGCAAATAGCGTTTTTTCTTCGACATGTCCCAACACATGCATTCAAAAAAATATCCACACCTATGGAGGAATCAATAAACTTACATTTTTGGAATTTGTATTTTGTCAGCATCGTTTTGCCGTCCAAAATCGTGCCACGGTCGACTTCTACTAGTTGGTTGAGCTCCAGGTGATTGAGAATTGCTGTTAGCTCGATGAGATAGGGACAGAGGATCAAGAAGTGTTTGATTCGATTGGCACAGTTCAGCTGTATAATCGAAAGACTGTAACAATAAGGTACAGTATGTTACCACCAGTACCTCTAGGCAACGAAAATATACAGGGTGACTTCGAAGTTGAGTCATTTATTTTAACAGTGGGTAGATCTGATCAAAAGGAATGTTTTTTCCTTTACCATTTTTCTGGTAAAATTAAAGTAACAAAGTTATAGCCCTTTGGAAGTTTGAGTACCGCCCTGTCTCAATAATAATATTATGTGCTCGTGTTTGGCGACAACGGATATAATCCGCCTTATCGGTTCATCGCATCGGAAACAAAAAAGCGAAAGAATTTGGAACGATGTTTTTACAATTATTTCATTCAGTTGTATACAGTCAGTGTCAGTCGGTAGTGGATAGTGGTGTCTGTTGCGTGGCTCAAACGAAATAAAAAATGGCACATGTTTATGCGGATCGGTTTCCCAATCGAGTGCAACCAACCCCTCGTGCCTTTGTTAATGTAGTACAACGGGTTCGTGAATCATTTGACTTAAGACCTCACATATGGACGGCATGCCGGTGCTCCAAGACCTCACGATCAAATACAGGTCCGCACTGAAATACTTGTCGGGAGGCTACTTTATAAAACAAGGTAAATTTTTTTTTTATTTTTACACACATATTTTGGTTTATCTTCCTTCTACAATCATTATCTGAAAATTAATGACTCAACTTCAAAGTCACCCTGTATAAAGGGAGCAATGTATAATATTCATCATAACTTGACTGTGTAGGTTCTAACTGAAATGTAGCTCAGTGTTGTTTGAAGTTTGTAGTTAATTCTCACTTTTACATGGATGCATCGAACATAAATGAACACTTTAAAAGCTTATCCCAAAAATTCAAAAGCTTGTTAATTTTTTTTATAATTTTAGGTTGATGTAGCAGATGATATAAATCAAGAGCATAAGCAATTTGATGCAAATAATGTAACATAACCTCAAAATAGAGCGCAGACACGAAATAGTAGAAAACTATAAAAATCAAGGAGGCCATACGTAATACAATTGTCTTGAAGGCTTTCTTGATTTTTATAGTATTTTTTCTCCTTCGAGAAGGCTCGAATATTTGTAGATTTCTGCTGTTCCGTGATAGCCTCAACGCTGTCCTATTGTGAGGCTATGTTTCCTTTTTGAATCGTAAGAAATTTCAGGTATTTGAAACATAACCTCAAATATATATTTGTAACATAACCTCAAGTAGATATTTGTATCATAACCTCAAAATAGAGCGCTGACACGGAACAATAAAACACTATGACAATCAAGGAGGCCATAAAGGCGTCCTACAATTGTCTTCATGGCCTTCCTGATTTTCATAGTATTTTAACTCCTTCGGGAAGGCTCGAATATTTGTAGATTTCTGCTGTTCCGTGTCAGCCTCAGTGCTCTCCTATTGTGAGGCTATGTTTCCTTTTTGAATCGTAAGAAATTTCAGGTTGATACAAATAGATATTTGTAACATAACCTCAAAATAGAGCGCTGACACGGAACAGTAGAAAACTATGAAATTCAAGGAGGTCATGAAGGCGTCCTACAATTGTAGGAACGACTGACGATACGCCCCTAAATCAAGGATAAGAAATTATCATAAGAACATTTTGTGTATCATCATTTATGTTTGATCGATCGGTATAATTTAGCTAGTGTCGAAATGTAGTAGGTAAGTGGTGAGAGTGTTCTAGGGCTCACCTGATGTAGTGTGTTCTGGTCTCGTGGTGTGACAGCATCCGCCCCAATTCCGCTATCCGGACTGGGCAGATCGACCGTCAAACCCCCTGCGGCAGCCGCAGCGATCGCTCCTTTGCCATGGTACGCCTGCCGGACGTACCGTTCTACCAAGCCGGTATTCCCTGAGCTAGTTCCTGTCTCGTCGGCGTATCCGATGGGCCCTTGCCTCAGCTGGCCGCTCACCGAGTACACGGGCTCAGGCGTACCAGCGCCTGCAGCGACCGTGGTGAAGTATTCCCGGTAGTACGGCTCGGATTGAACGGAGAACGCGGTCGTGGCCGCGTTGATGGTACGGCCATTACCGACGCCCCCGGTCGAGTAGATACCGGATGTTCCGGTGACCAGGGATCCTTGGGTACTATACTGTACGTGATCTGCATACGGTGTGGGCGAGGGGGGTACCGCTGCCTCCACTACCACTCCCGCTAAAGATCTGAGTGGTGTACATCGCTGATTTGAGGCCATTCGCGGTTGCTATTTCTATTGGGGTGGTACCGGAGCCGTCAGCTAGCAGACCTCCACTGTGGGTGGACGTAGGAGTACCGTTTATGGAGCGAGAGCTGTGCTGGGGGGAGTGGAGGCCTCGGTGGCCTGGGTTTTCGTCCTTTATCGAGCTCACGTCGACAACGAGGTCGCCTGGTTGACCATTGTTTCCGCCCGATGACACAAGCACCACCTATAAACCACCAAGGAACATTAATGCTGGCGCCACCTAGTCGATACACGTGATTATTGAAATAGCTCTCAACTTCTGAAATTAATTTTGATTCATGTACAGTACGAACAAAAAAAATCGCCAGGTTCTCCCTATATCAAGGCAAAATGGAGCAAGTGGCAACCGTGCAGTTAGAGAGCACCGCAACCATGGAACGACTTTATGGTTTATTCCATATTCGCGTATGTTCATGATTCCAGCGATGTTTTGGTTTGAACATTTATTTTCCCAATTTTTCACCAATTACATATTTTGCTCCTAACAAGGGTTTTGGCTAATTTGGATCATTCTGAACGAAAAAGGTCACTGTTTCCAGAGTTAACCGTTTTTGGTTTATAAGCGATTTAAAATTTGAAAGATCCTAAAAATTGTCATACCTTAAAACTAGGTTAAAAGCTATTATTTCTGAGATTTCCAAGCATCTAAATTGAATTTCAAACTTACCCCTATACACCTACCGAGCGCGTTATTATTAACATGTAAATAACAATGCTTTAAGATAAACTAGGGGGAGGTTTGAGCTTGTCGACTTTACAGTTTGTAAGCATTGAAAACGGTTATTTTGTCAGAATGACCCGCAAAACCTACAGACACTTCGTCCGGAGCGATTTTTTTTTTTGTAATATGAAGAAAAATTGTTCAAACAAGTTTTCACCGTGTTACCGACCGAAAACTTGAAGTTGATTTTTCTTAGACGCATCCGACAAACGCAATTATGAAAAAAGTTTAGTAGGAAAATTTTTGTTTAAGTACTTTTTTCTTTCACATGGGGAGACAGGTCGGCAATTATTTTTGTTATCGACTGTACATTTCCATTTTGTCCCTCTGCTTGAAAATTAATGTATCGTACTCTGGCTCCTTTAATATCTCTCAAAGCATATATTGTCCAGACACCTTGGTTGATTTAAAGAAGAAAGATTCATATAACTTTTTGTTGTCAAAATACAGGTTTTAAACTTTTTTAAACATCGTTTTTTCGAAAAAAAAAGGGCTTAGCTGATCCGTGAATTTTTCCCTTTGGGGGTTTGGTCTTTAAAATGTTATCTAGATTTTTGGTGACTACTACAGTAGAACCCCGATTATCCGAAATCCGTTTTATCTGAAACAGATCGCATACAATAATTTCTCCGTTTTAACCGAAGTTGTTCGGAAAATCGGCGCATGATCCGAAATAGCCGCCGGTAGTTCCCCATTCGGCGTTTGCGACATTAGATTCGCTGCCGGTGATTCCCCGAACGCGTTTGCGGACTTCACTGGTATGTGTGCGTGTATGTTTGTTTCAGCCAGCTTCATAATCGCTAAGATGGAGCAGCATAGAAATAAACGTAAACGCGTTGTTACTACCATAGAACAGAACACAAGTAACTTGAAAAGTGTTCTGACATCATCGCAGTCGTCACGGAAAACTATGAAAAAGAGGGAATATCGAAAAGTGGATGATGTGGTTTACACAGAATTGAGAACGTGAAATACCAATTTCCGGATCAATTATCCGAAAGCACTTGGGTCCACATTATTTCGGATAATCGGGGTTCTACTGTATGGACCTACCAAATTCCAACTAATATTAGATAGATTTTCAAATTCCGAAAAAGTTGGGTATTTTTTACGTACGAAACATTTAACGAATCAGTCAAGAAATCAAAAATTCTGGCCAGGTGCTTTATCAACTGATATTCTTTTCTAAAATTGTATCCCAAAAATCTATGTCACATAAAATGAATGAAAATACGTTTTTATCATTTTTGAACTCTGTGGAAAAAATCGATCACGTGTATCGACACACACAACCACGTTTGGTAGTAAGAGCATCCATTTTCAAGACTATCACTACAAAATGCAACAACGATAAAAAATATAAGCCGCTCCTTAGGTGGACCCTAGAACTAATCTACTTCAATTACCATCTACTTTTCAACTCATGCACTACGCAAGCTAACCAAAAAAAAATACGAAAATGAATAGAGCACAAAACTTTTACAGCAGAAACTCACCGTAAAGAGATAACAAATCAGGTAACATATTTTTTAATACTGTAATAACACTGACCATATAAAATATAAAAAGAACCATGCAACTATCCTATTTTCTATCTGATAAAAAAATACCCCAGACCAATTCGTCAGATTTCTCCATCTATTCCTGAATTCCTATGTTTTCTATCATTTTAAATTATAATCACTGGATGAAGGCGTGCTCAGAATTTGGTATACGCCTTCATTATTATTTGTAATAACTAAGCATACTAAGCATTATATTATTTCAATAAGAAAAGCTTAAAGGCAAGTTAAACAGTGAATTTTTTGAAACTCATACAAAGCGTTAAAAATAGGCTAATCGAGAAATGTTTTCAAATGTACTGTACTTATATTAAAATTTTGAAAATGCTAAAACAGGAACTCGTTTAACTGTGGGAGAGATTAAGACGTTTCTTTCAGAAGTATAAAATAATTGTAAAGCTTTCTGCCAGCTTTCCTATTTTTAGAAATATAAGTAAAAGAAAAATATGTACCTACCATTTTTGCTTTTTCTAATGAATGGCTTGGCTTTTTTGTAAAACTTTTGCGTACAAAAAATGACGAAAACATTACCCGGTAGGTATAAATGTATAACAATAGGGGAAGTGTCGCATCCACCGTTTTTGAAAATAAAGAATGTATTCTAGAAAACTTTGAAGTGATTAAATATGGGTTGCAAACGTTTCTTGTCAAAACTGTATAAAAGTGATAAATACGGATAAAACAGGACTATTTCAAATATACATCCGCAAATGAGTCGTCTTAAGATAGAGATTCCAAAATTTTCTCATTTAGAATCTGAAACCAACAACCCAACAATCCAAATGTTCAAGCTCGATTTTTTTCAAAATCACGTTTGCTGGAAGCCTTTAAGATGAGTTAAGAGGTTGCCATTTAAACAAATATAAGAACATTTTTTTTCACTAGAGACAAAGATCACGGTTAAAAGAATTATTTTTGGGCTTGCGCACTGAAGTCAAAGTTTAAATCTTCCCTTTCCCTACAAGAGTATTTCAGGCTCAGTTTATTTTAAAGCATTCTTGTAGCCCTGAAGTGCGGGTTATTGATAACTTAATAACAACGCTTTATTAAGCCCAAAATGCCCTTCAATGCATTGTAGGGAAAGGTTAGAACTTTAAGCCCAAAAATGATATTTTTAACCGAGCTCTGAAGCACTCACGATGGCCTCTCCCAGGGTTTTTCTGACTCAAAATCGCTCACGATCCAATAACTTTCAGTGAAATTAAATAATTATGAAAAAAAAAGTTGTTCACACGAAACGACGTAATAGAAAAAGCTTGGTACATTCACCATGTTTGAACATAAAGTTCGATTGAGGGTGTGGAAATTTTAGGAATTCAAACGTCTCCATCACTTCCACTTTAGCAATTCCACGGTATTGTCAAAAACTAAAACTTACCGTACACAATAATTTGTGAGAGTAACTATGTTTTTCATACGCAATACATTCCGAAAAACCCGTTGTTTTCCCGTAGGAAGCCTCAAAGATAGAATTCCATGTCGTGGATTATGCTGAATCAAAAACGCAAAATTTATAGAGCTTGAAGTCCATATTTCCCTATAATTCATTATTATCTTGAAAGGATCTGAAGTTTATTATTTGATAATTCACCAATAATATTTTGCGATACTCCCAGAAAAATTTCACACTTCGTTTTGTTTTAACAGCCACCTCCCAACCAGTTACAAAATACTCAAAATATCTATGTCCAACAATTCAGAAAAAATAACCGTTTCCAGACGAACAAAATTGGATCGTGACAGCTTTTATTTGAACATAGAATGTTCCTGTACTTTCATTTAGACTTGAAGTTTCACAAATCTTCGGTTTCCCCTTCTATTGAGAGACTTATACGATTTATCAAATTTTCCATTTTTCTACTACTTTTAGACTGAGAAATCCGATTAAATTAATTCGTGACTGCTCAAAGCTAGATGTGATAAGCATATTGCCATTTTTAACTAGAATGTCGGAAAATATCGTGGCAATCCGCGACGCGTGGAATTGCTTTATTTCTGAGTGTTTCTTATCAATACTCAACAGCCTGAACCGCTTCCATACTTAATCGTGAATGAATACTGGCGCTCCAGGCTCCACCTCCCACTACACAGTACCACCACTCAAACTCAGACCACGTGCTATAGCACTACACACTACACCACACCAAAATCCCAATCACCTTGGCTCTGGACTTGTTTGGAGATGATGATAGATCCGTCCAAGCTCCCGGAACTGGGCGAACTACATTCGATTTTCCTGTGATGGCTCAAATCTTCCGGCTCGCGTTTGACAAGTTGTAGACTCTGGTCTGCGGAGATCGCTGATTGACCCGCGTACCCGATATGCTGGTTGATAAACAGACCTTGCAGTTCCTGTGAGTTCAGCTGGGCAGCGGCGGTACTAAGGGGCGGCGTCGTCAGCTCTAGACCCGCCCCGCTCACCAAGCCATTGGTCGCTTTCAGCTGCGAGGTTAGGATACTGCCGGCGCCAGTGCCAGCCCTGCAACAACAGAACGTTACGTCACACGTGTGTACATTGGCGTACTATCTTTCATACCCGCAGCTTCAACCAAAAATCAGGACACACATGCAACGGCGGATCCGGGATTTGTGTTTTGTAACTTTACTAATGACAGCCCGCTAGATTATTTGAAGTTCATGATTGCAAACAATTTTATTGACAGTTTTTCAGAGAGCTGCAGTTTATTCAGATTGTTGTTGACTTTGCCTATCGGTTCAGCTAGTGCAGAACGTGTCATGAGCCCTTTGAAAATTATTAACGAATACCGTCAAGCTTCATTGGCTGAAGACATATTCAACAATCGAAAGATGAGTAGCTAATACACTCAATTTGGATTCTGCGATGGAAGTTTTTGCTGAACGAAAAGCAAGGCGCGGATTCAAAGTAGACTAATTCTGTTATTTTGTATCGAATAAAAAATGTTTGATCTCACAGTCTCTACTTGATCCAGGTTATATAGACATATAGTAGAAAAAAACAGGGGTAACAGTGCGCAGCAGATACTATTGTGCTTATAATTGTAAGCCCCTGTTAATATGTGACATCTTTATTGCCAGCAAAATCTGTAGTTCGAACTTTATCTGAACAATTTAGATGGATTTTACGTGATCGAAAAATTTTAGTCTTTCTAATTTTTTTATTCTCAGTTGCCGTCATTGATTTGTAAATAGCGATAAATGTGGAGAATATCGCTTTCGCAAATAGTGCCCAGTATATATCCTGTAGTAATGCACGATATTTAACGTATGTTGGTGTTGTTACTAATTTCTGAGTTATCATGCAACTTTCAATGTTTCCATTGCCGTATTTTATTTGTCAATAATTGCAGTAATTCATGTTATTCGCAAAACAGTTATAGTGCGCACTATTTGCCGTCTGTCCCCGATCATACCACTGGGCCCCCCAGTGCATATTTCCGACCTTAAATCTGCCACCGGTCCGTCAAACAGTATTTTTTATCAAATTTGCTGACAGCTTAGTGCGAAGAAGTTTTATCAAGTTGACTGCATAGGCAACCAGTCTTGCGCTATCATCTATGCGCTTACAGTTAAATCCAAGTTGACGGATGCAGTGTTGCCAGTGTTTAGTAGAAAATACCAGTACGGCATCCATTTAATATGATTTGTCTAAGAGATTTGGAACTTTAAAAATTGGTGGGCGAGGGGTCATGGCCCCCATGATCCCCTCTGGATACTAGGTCTACCGGAAAGTTCTGTACATTTGCCTCAGACGGAAGGTTATATTTTTAACACGCTTTTACGAGGAGCACGCTGTATATTTTGAGATGCGCATCAACTATACTAGTTAAGATCGGTAACAGTGCAGCATTTGAAAGAGCAGTCCTTTATTAGTAAGTCGCCGCATTCAGTTCATTTGGAAGCGTCTTACAATGCACGTGTAATTATACTCTTATCCTGTTGGGCAATAAATGCTTTATTATTATTAAGTTTTCACTAGTTATTTTTAATCAAACTTGGGAAACGCTAGTCTTTGTCCTGTGCGGTGGTATGTTTATTTTAGAATAACATTTCCAAGGACTTCTTGGACCACACTGTAAAGACGGTAATTGACAGATAATCTGTTGAAACTTGCAACTGCAACAAGAACTAATATGAAACTTCCGACATAAATCTTCATCGGAAATTGCGGATGCCAATCTCCAGCTAATACCTGCTGTTATTCTCACATATTGGCATTCGTCATAATTACACTGATCCGCTTAATATTCATAATTGTCGCTGTTATGGCAATTTTTAATTCGCCAATAATTACGCGCTTGGATTACGCAATCTCAATGGCTATTGGCTATTCATTTGTAACGCTACAGTTTGCACTTTGTATATGTCGATGCAATAAATCAATTAACTCGGACTATTACATATCGCTAGCTAAATGATATTAGGAAATGAGAAACTGAATATAAAGTCATGCGTGAGTTTTAGAAGGGGCTGATCCATTGATCAAAACGGCAAGTTTAAAACCGCATGTAGATCAGTTGCTTTACAACGATCTTAGGGTCGGCCTCCTTGATTTTCATAGTTTTCTACTGCTCCGTGTCAGCGCTCTATTTTGAGGTTATGTCCCAAATATACAGGGTGTAAAGTTAGTAGTGGATCAGGAGATTTTTTACGCAAATAGCAGAATCAGCTTAATGACCTTGGACATTCAACAGGTGCGGGAGCGTTCAGACTTCGGTCCGATCGGGCAAAGGTCCAGCGCGGAATTCGTATCTAACGTTTGGCATCTGAGAAGAATCACTACTAATACTACGTCCAACAGATATCATCCGGCAACGTTGGTCGTGTTCCGCGAGTACCGTGTCCCGCCGTGCACCGGGTCACCTTCACAATGCCGCGTCCTCGCCGTGGCCGGCGCCGTCCACGACAATGTTGCCACGTCTGGCCACAGTCTGTGAATTTTTTCTTAGGCTAGACGGACCAATGCCGCTTGTACGCCGTGTTGTCGTTTCTATCGCCGACACAAATTTACTACATAGGTACATTTGACGAGTACAGTGGTACGAACTGATCTCGAGTTTGTATCATGACCAGCATCGATAATGGACAGTGCAGTCGGGGCGGTAACACCACAAACATGTGCGCAGTATTCGAGGCTATGTCTTATTTGGCACAAAGGAAAGACGCAGTAAAGCAGCCATTGTGAACCAGAGACAGCGTCTTGACCTGCTCAATGAATCCAAAGAAATTCATCATGATTTGGCAACGCCGTTCAAGAGTTCACGCGCCACTAGCTCACGATTTGCTAGCTTCCTAAGTACGCGTTACTATTGCTCAACGTGATATGGTGGAGTCAGTTAATTCATAGGCTAGCAATTTTCTTTCTAGCGAACGCTAGGTACACAGCTGTTCGAGCTATTTTCACTTTCGTATCAATTGCCAATTCGTAGTCTCAATTATACAGTGGAATCCACTTATAATGAAGTTGCTTATAATGGAAACCCGTATATAATGGACACAATTTAAGGTCCTATAAATAACACTGATCAACAGCCAAAAAATATCCTAAATAAAATCAACAAAATATTACTATTTTCAATGTGCTAAAACCGGAATGAAACTTATTTTTTCAATATTAGTTCAAGTTTTAGAGATTCGGTAATTATATGTATTCCTGCTGTGACAGTGTTAATATACTGTAATTCACAAGAATGCACGTGCTACATTTTTATATTCGGCAAGGAAAGATGATGTAATCGGCTTGATTGTGTTACGTTATACATACGTGTACATTATATTGTTTTATATTAGTCATTTTTTCCTCAGTTGGTTAACAGCGTTCATGTCTCGAAAGTGTGTAAACAATCCAGATCAGTTTTGTTACGTGTGTGGTGATGTGACTTTTGCGTCTCAGAGACGGTCTATTACTCCACTAATAACAAAGGCATATCAGCTTTATTTCGGTTGTAAACTAGGTGATCAAGACAAACAGTGGGCACCCCACATCTGCTGTAACATGTGCTTCAAGCTTCAAGAGCTGGTTAAATGGCAAAAAACGGTCTATGCGCTTTGCTGTCCCAATGGTTTGGAGAGAGCCTACAAATCATATTAATGATTGTTACTTTTGCATGGTACCTTGTGTTGGACAAGCCACAGGTATGTCCAAGAAAAAAAAAATCGGTTATTAACTACTCAAACATACCATCTGCGATGAGACCTGTGCCTCACAGTGACGAAAATCCTATTCCAAAACCCCCAGAATCCTACACTTGCGAATCAGAAAACGAATCAGATCATGGCGATCGAGTGATTCGTCAGGAAGAAGATATGCCATCAACGTCAAGAGATCCTGATTTTATACCGAGCACGTCATGCCACCAACCGCACAAAATAACACAGTCAGAATTATATGATCTTGTAAGAGATTTAGAACTTCCAAAATGTAAGGCAGAGTTACTTGGATCAAGACTGCAGCAGTGGAACTTGTTAGAAGACGATGTTTCGGTATGTGTTTTTCGTAAACGCCACAAAGACTTAGAACCATTTTTCAATATGGAGAATAACTTAGTTTTCTGCAGTAACATTAACGGCTTACTGGCGGCTTTAAATATAAACTATAACCCAGAAGAATGGAGATTGTTTATAGACAGTTCAACATTGAGTTTAAAGGCAGTGTTATTGCATATTGGAAATACTTTACCAGCTCTTCCTGTAGGGTATGCAGTTCACATGAAAGAATCATATGACAATATGAAGTACCTATTGACATGCATAAAATACGATGAGCACCAATGGCATATTTGTGGCGATTTGAAAGTTGTTGCACTTTTACTTGGGCTGCAGCTAGGCTACACAAAGTTTTGCTGTTTTTTGTGTGAATGGGACAGTCGGGCAAAGGCACTTCATTACACCAGACAAAACTGGCCTGTTCGTCAATTCCTAGAGCCAGGTCAAAAAAATGTACAGCATATGCCATTAGTAGATTCGAAAAAAATTTTATTACCACCACTGCATATCAAGTTGGGCCTAATGAAAAACTTTGTCAAGGCATTAGATAGAGATGGGTCAGCTTTTCAATACCTGCGTCAGAAATTTCGAAGACTAAGTGAGGCAAAGGTTAAAGAAGGTATTTTTGTTGGGCCACGAAATATTTTGAAAGATACACAGTTTGAAAACACTTTAACAGGTATTGAAAAAACTGCTTGGAATGATTTCCGTCTGGTGGTCACTAATTTCTTGGGAAATAGAACAGCTGACAACTATAAAACCGTTGTCAAAAATATGCTGTCATATGTCTCTTAAGATACATTTCCTACACTCACACCTGGACTTTTTTCCTGACAATTGCGGAGCCGTAAGTGATGAGCACGGCGAACGTTTTCATCAGGATATTTCAACAATGGAAAAAAGGTACCAGGGAAAGTGGAATCCTTCCATGCTTGCAGACTACTGTTGGACTCTTGGTAGAGATGCTCCAGAAACGATCCATAAAAGAACAGCAAAAAGACAGCGCATATAGTG